GAAAATCTCATCAAACGCTGCATGTACGTAAATATTAAATAACAGATTTTTATTGAAATTAAGCTTTCACCATTGTTTGCTTTTCAAGTTGATAAATCAACAGACGTGAGTTCGTGTTGCAGTTGCTGGTCTGTGTCTATATTCATGCGGATGATAGCAAAGAAGTGTTGCTATTTTGTGAAGATAGCATGGAGAAAATAAATACCTTTTTTAAAAACTTGATGATTAAAATGGGTTAGAACGGCTGTGGGGGTTTGTACAGATGGTGCGCCATCTATGTTTAGCTCAAAATCGGGCTTTCAGAAAACAGAAAAGATTTAGCTCCCTAACCACTGCCCTATCCAATCGACATCAAGAGTCCATTGCTAGTATAAGTCGTAAATTATATAAAATCTGGAGCCTTCAAAGAACTGAGCAAAAACGTTAATATAGATCACGAGGTTCTGCTCTTCTACACTACAGTACGCTGGCTGTCAAACGAAATGTTGTAAATTGTGTTTTTGAATTGAAATCTGAAATCAAATTGTTCTTGGGAGTGCAAAGGAAAGAAGACTTTTGGGTATACTTAAAACGACATAGAGTGGTTGGAGAGAGTATCATAGTATCATACCTAGCAGATGTGTTCGAACATCAAGATAAGCTTAACCATAAGCTTCAGGGAAAATGAACGAATATTATAACATTTTTATCAAAGCTGCAAAATCGGTAAAGAAACCAAATCGTGGAAATATTGTAAATTTGAGAAACTCTGCTGTGTGGTAGATGAATCTGATTGTGAGATAATTACAATTTTGAAAGAAGCGATTTCTGGGCATCTTGAATCTCTTGAAAACGAACTGCATGGCTATTTCTCTTACCCATTCTCTTCTTCCTTTGATGTTGCCAGCATTCCCATGAATTACAAGATGAATTCTTTGATTTACAGAATGATTTCGAGCAAGATGAAAAACTGCAGGCACAATTTTGGTGTAGTATTCACCATTCATACCCAAACGTAAAATTGATTGACTTTTCGAGAATATATTTGTAACCCTCACTCAGTGGGGATGCTTTTACCCACTGAGGTGTTGTGGTTAAGACGGGCTGACCCTGAGATTAAGTACACACCGACACCGACAGTTGTTGTCAAGTACTCGTTTATTTATAGCATCGAGCCATGACGGCGATGCAACACAAAACGAACTAGCCAAGATAGACCAAAAGATCCAAACAATCCAAAAGACCAAAAGATCAAAAGATCAAAAGATCAAAATAGAAACAGAAAACTGTAGCCCTAAAACAAATGTAAAATAAAAAAGTTACATTCAGGACAACACCACGTGTAAGCTACAATATACACGGGTACAATAAATTATGTTTTCGGCCAGTACACAGTACTGCCAACAAGTACCAATAAGTAGTACTACAAAATAAATACTTAATTTAATACATCACCCTAACTAGTGTGCACATGCAGCACTAGCAGGAATACATAAGTATTTAAACAAACATAATTTATATATCTACACTACCTTCATTAGGTCTACATCTTGGTCCACAGACAGCAGCCTTGCGTGTGCGACACGACTAGGCACATGTCACATGACATGGAACACAGGTAATTTCGCTCACAAAAGCATAAAAAACGTCAACAGTTCAGTTGCAGTCCCACAGGGGCCGCAACCCAATGAATAAAAACTTCATAGTTTTATCCCCCTTTTGGCTGGTAACTATATGTGTTACACAGCCCCCCTCACAAATAAATGTACAATGGAATTCACATTTACATTTACATTTACACTCATACATAATAGTACTTAAAAAAAAAGTTCAGTACACTAGTACACAGACATTAGTCCTTTCAACTCAAATAGATTATTCCCGGCAAACCGGTAGAGGCTCCAGTGCAGGTACTGGTCACCACTTGATGCTCCAGGTTGAGTCGCTCGACGGGTCGTCGTTGACGGGTTGACCTCCGCAGCTCCGCTGGTGGTTCTGGGTTGATCCAAGAGTCATCCTCGTCCGATGCCTCGTCCCTCGCATTCACCTCATTCAGATGTGGGGCTGGCCTGACCATCTCCTTTTCTTGTCCGTCCTGGACGACCACCTCGGGCACGAAAGGCGTTGCCTCCGGCCGAAGTCTGGTTGGGACCACTACCTTGATTGTCAGTTCCTCACCTTCATCTGCCTCACTGGTTGGGACGATCTCTCTCCGTCGCCCCCCCTCCGCCACAGTGGGTTCAGCACTCGACATTGTATAGTCGGGTCGCTGCCAACCACGGCGGCGTCCACCACGTCGTCGGCCTCTCCTCCGGCGGCGTCTCCGACCTCTGCTTGTGTCATGTCTGTCTCCCAAGCGACGATCTTGCTCGCGCTGAGACTGACATTCATAGTGTGGCTGTCTACCCTTCTCACGCGCACCCTCCGGCTGCAACCCTCCTCCACGGCGGAACACCCGACAGCCGTACCTCCAGCCGTTAGGCGAGGTAACCTGAGCTGTGGTTGCTCGACACTGTGATGATCTCGGTGGCGTAAACTTGGGCTGGGAGCTTGGCAGAACACGCATCAGCATCCGCTCCCCGACGCTGATGGACTGGCGTTTCCCTGCTGCTGACCCCGTTGCCTAGCTGCTTTTCTCGGACAGTCGCGGACGAAGTGCTTCGTGGACCCGCACCCGTAACAAGCTCCTCTGGAGGGCTGTTGTTTCCGGGCTAGGATATCTGCCACCTTCTCCGCCAGACGGTCGAGTTGTTCCTCCGTGAGCATCAGCGGCGTAGTCTCCTGGCGACCAGCTACCGTTACTGCGTCGACCTTCTGCGCCAGACGGTCGAGTTGCTCCTCCGTGAGCATCAGCGGCGGCGTCGTCTCTTGGTGAACAGCTGCCGTTACTGCGTCGACCTGGATAGTCCTGTTAGCTGCTGCCGTGGCTACGACTGGGGACTCAGCTGTCCCGTCCAGCCTTTTAACAGCTTTCAGAACGTCCTCCACCTTCGGACTGGCTTCCCCTGCGAAACCAAATGTACCGCGAAGTTCGAGCGCCAGAAGAGGTGAAACCCCCTTGCAGAAAGTGTGATACACCTTCTTCTGGGCATCGGCCTCAGTAAAGATACGCTGCTGGTTTAGCTTCGTCATCTCTGACCACAGTCGGCAGAGAAATTCCGACGCTGACTCCCTTGGATGTGGAGTGAGTCGGCTGAACTGCAGATACCTGTCTTCGGCACATCTGGTGTCGCCAAAAGTGCTTTGTAGGAGGCATAGCACTTCCTCTGGACTCGCAGCTTGCTTCACCCGCTCATAGGCAATCCCTCTCAGGCTGCCTAAAACGGGTGGCAACGGGTTCGGAACGCTGGTGTTCCGCAGCAAACACTGTACTTCGGTTTCCCATTCCGGGAAACTCACCTCCCCTCCTCCAGTGGGTGGAAGGCCGGTGAATACGCTCAGCTTGTTGTGTGCTGGAGCACACACCTCCACCGTCACGGGCCGCTGCGCACTTGTCTGCATCGCCGCCATCTTAGCCGTCAACTTGACCAGCTCCTCCGTCAACTTCTCCAACGTCGGGTCGCTGTGTTCCATCCTACCTCCCAAGGTCAAGCCCCACGTTGGGCGCCAAATGTAACCCTCACTCAGTGGGGATGCTTTTACCCACTGAGGTGTTGTGGTTAAGACGGGCTGACCCTGAGATTAAGTACACACCGACACCGACAGTTGTTGTCAAGTACTCGTTTATTTATAGCATCGAGCCATGACGGCGATGCAACACAAAACGAACTAGCCAAGATAGACCAAAAGATCCAAACAATCCAAAAGACCAAAAGATCAAAAGATCAAAAGATCAAAATAGAAACAGAAAACTGTAGCCCTAAAACAAATGTAAAATAAAAAAGTTACATTCAGGACAACACCACGTGTAAGCTACAATATACACGGGTACAATAAATTATGTTTTCGGCCAGTACACAGTACTGCCAACAAGTACCAATAAGTAGTACTACAAAATAAATACTTAATTTAATACATCACCCTAACTAGTGTGCACATGCAGCACTAGCAGGAATACATAAGTATTTAAACAAACATAATTTATATATCTACACTACCTTCATTAGGTCTACATCTTGGTCCACAGACAGCAGCCTTGCGTGTGCGACACGACTAGGCACATGTCACATGACATGGAACACAGGTAATTTCGCTCACAAAAGCATAAAAAACGTCAACAGTTCAGTTGCAGTCCCACAGGGGCCGCAACCCAATGAATAAAAACTTCATAGTTTTATCCCCCTTTTGGCTGGTAACTATATGTGTTACATATTTTCAACACTATTCTTCTATTAAAAACAAAATCAAGATAATTATAATGACATAGGTTGGCGTTAACACAATTTTTAAAAATTAAAAACTTAACCACGAAGGTTTAGTGAATAGTATGCAATTTTACTCATGCTATTAAAACAGTTATCAAGAGTAGTTCATATTGAAAGTCTACTAGAAAATCTTATTTTAGTGCTTATTAATTTCCATACTAATTTCGGCTTTTTAATTCTATGGGGGTCGCGGGTCACTTACTTTTTATAAAAGGGGGTCGCCACTCGAAAAAGGTTGGGAACCACTGTGATAGATAGAAGAAATAACGCGCTTATTTCCTCTCTACCATAAGAGGATATAAGCACAGTGTTTATTTCCTCGAATGCCCATGAGAGGATTTAAGCGCCATTTGGGTGAGCAGTCTAGCGCTCTAACACTTGGCTACACTGAAATAAGCTTCCAGGTTATTAATGATTCTGCTCAGCACTTTGCTAGGTATTGATAACAAAGTTATTACTTTTTTTTTTGCAAAAGATAAAACATATAGATCTAGATCTACTTTTGAAATCTTTTATTGAAAAATATTATTGACGAACCCTTCCCCATCTTTTATACAAAATATGTTCAGTTGGTATTCCGTAGATTTTGGTCTGTGCGACACAGCTAAATTTTTCCGCGGGGTACCCGCCATGCCATGACGTCATTCATTAGCATAGTGAAAAAGCACAACATGTGGAGTCAAAATATCAAAATTGGATTTCTTGTTCTTGTTATTTAAGCTACGCAGTGTACGCATTCAGTTTGAGATTACTGCAGTATTGCTCTAGATTATAAACACGTAAGTTATTATCGTGATTTCATTGTATTGACTGAAAGTCTTGATATTATTACATGATCTCTAGACTAGATTAAATCTCTAGTTTTCTTCCAATCCCCTTGCCACTTTTTTTTTTATTATTCACCTCTCTCTGTCTACCAGACTACACACTTGGTAAGCCTATGCTACGACGAATAGCACAAAGACCAATACAAAACACTGAATACACATCCCGTTAATACTAAACTAGGCTGTTTAGATTTAGACTAGATCTATAATCTAGTATTGTAGATGTTACTTAGAGTATAATACTTAGCCAGATTAAGCTTATATTATTCAAAGTGAAGGTGGTGTGAAGGTTTGCGTAATTTAATTAAATTTAGGATTTTAGACCATAAGCTTTTTTTTTTTGCATAAAATTCTAAACTAAGTTTTAAAAAAAAAATTAGGCCTGAAGATCAGATTTCATCTAGATATCTAGATCTAGATCCAGACTAGATCTAGTCTCTAGATCTAGATCTCTAGATCTAGTCTCTAGTTCTAGCTATATCTAGATAGTTAATTAGTAGATATCTAGACTAGATCTAGAGTCTAGACTCTAGCTAGATCTAGATTAGATTTTAGATGGATCTAGATCTAGATTCTAGATCTAGTCTAGATCTAATCTAGAATCTAGATCTCTAGAGTCTAGATCTCTAGAGTCTAGAAATCTAGATTCTAGATGTAGACGAGTCTAGGCGTCTAGGGATTTCATAAAGATGTAGATCTAGAATCTAGATCTACATCTTTATGAAATCCCTAGGCCCTAGACTCGTCTACACTACTTATAGACTAGACTCCACTAGACTGTGTCTACAAGTCTAGATCTAGACTAGAAATCTAGATCTTGATTCTAGGAGCTCTAGAGTCCAGTTCTTAATTCTAGAACAAGCTAGTAGATCTAGTAGTAGTAGGGCTAGTGTACTAGTCTAGATCTAGACTACACAGATCTGGGAATAGATTCTAGATCTAGAAATCTAGACCCTAAACTTCTAAATAAATCTAAATCTAGGTTTATACTTTATACTAAATCTACTAGATCTAGAAACAGCAGATTCACAATTTTTTTTGGCAAGGACCTAGACTTTAGATCTAGATCTAGATTCATTCTGCACTAGGTCATTGTCATGGCAATGTCTTCTATGCTTTTCATGGATACCTCTGTGTCCTGTGTAGCTTGCCCACTCCACTCCAGTGCTTGTCTGAAGGCATATAAAATAGGCCTACATATATCTAGCTAGATATATCTAGATCTATACTCTAGACACTAGAAGTCTAGCCAGACTAAACGGTTGAGCTGCACCATCCAACCATGCTTTCCTTTCTTGTGTGGTTCACCTATGGGAGAAGGGGGGGGGGGGTGCTGATTTGTTTATTATTCAGATATTAGATCTATATCTATTGTGTGCAATACTGATTCCCAAGGTGTTGGTGGTATCTGCCTTTTTTCTCAATTTATAATTTATAGCCTACTGGATTACAAGTTTACTTTTTTGAATGTGGAATAGTTGTTAAGAAATTTTAATGTTCTTCTATTCATTTTTTTTAACTTTAAAGGAACCTGGGCTAATTTGGTAATTTGCCTTTGGGATTAGCTAATTTTGTGATTTGAAGTACTAAAATAATTTTATAAGACAAGGTTAAAACTTTCATGTGCTTCTTTCACCCAATTCTACTGAGTTAGCTCATTGATCAGGTCAGAATTGGTTTACTGTCATTTCTAATGAAACAAAATGCACACGATACATTTTTAACCATTTGGGGTTTTGAGAGACTAAATAAAATAAGCATTAAAAACAATCTTATTTGGTAAAACTTAAAACACTTTGTTATAAAAATAAAAAATAATCTTTCAGTTAATCACATTGATACTGTTATCATCAGTGACTCATTAGCCAAAAGTGGGGCCAGCAATGGCATACACAAATTGCACATAATTATAATATAAATTGTTTGGTTGTCAAAATAAATTTTAATTTCAATATTTCTTGTTATAAGTAGTGAGTAAGATACAATTTCAATCACAGTGCAGGTATAATTAGAGTGAATCTATTTCTTTGACCTCAGTATTTAAAAAGTGTTGTCATTTGCTAACTTTAGTATTTCTCACACAATATGGACTCTTGCAAGAAATGAGGTGTAATGTATTAGTGCTAAAGTACTAACAAATGTTAGTGGTTTACTACTAACACAACACAGCCACATGATTGGAAGCACCCTGCAGAGTTGGGAAATACCATGATTACATCAAGGATGCCACTCGATCAAGTCAAAGTGTGACTATTGTGTTAGCCTAAATCTAAATACTCAAGGAATACTCCCATTGAACATGCTTCTGAAAATTACTTTTTCTAGATTGTTTTTTAAATAACTTTTTGCCATAAAAAAAAATTCTTACCTCTCACTAAAGTTAACTAAAGGCAACCTTAAAAATAAAAAAAAACATGGCTAACTTTCTTTCTTTACAGCCACATTGTTTCAATTAACAACTCAGCAATAAATTGCACAGTGGAGACTGGCTTATTCAGTCCTAAATAAGAGATAAGTTAGTTACAGCCCCACTGTGAATGATAAGGCTTTCAGGCTGTAAATTTGAAACTAGCATTTATTTAAGCCTCTTTCAGTATAAGTAGGACTGTAAATGGCCACTCCAGGGTCTATACTGTATTTTTTGGTAAAATATTTAAGACCTAATGTTTTTAGTTTTGAGTACTAGAGTACAAAGTTTAATACTTTAATTAATTATAGTTAAAACATTTTGGATAGTTATAATTAAAAAACATTTTGGAACACTTTTTTGGTGAAATTCGGATAGTAGCTCAAAGTAAAGTATCTGTAGACCTATACTCTATACTTCCAGTTAGCTAGTAATTGAGTTTGATTCTTCTAGCCTTGGTTTGTTTTTATTACTTTTTGTTATTTGATTCTAATTTCTGGTATCATTGTGAGAGCTGGGATTATTTGTGATGAGACGGCTTTCAAGATTTATATGTAGCTTTTGCTCTTAGTTATACTGAGTTACACACAAATAAGTATTGAATGAATAGGTATATTATATACAATACACTATTTATTTAATAGTACTTTGCTCTATCTGTTTATGAAGCTATTTGTCAGTTTTTTAAACTTGTTATATATAAATATATAATAAATGTCAATTTATTGTAATACTTAGGTGCAGCTACTTTATCTTGACCAGACTTTTTGACCAGTATCATATTGTTCTAGAGTTTTAAAAAATCATGCTATTTTTCCCATTTTTGTTTGTTCCACTTCTGTTCTCCCATCATGACTTGGGTATAGGATGTAAAATACACATCAGTACACTCTGCCAGAACAGCTTTAAAGGCTATAGATAGAGAACTGAACTAGTTTTGGTCCATGGCCCCTTCATTTAAGTTAGGCAGTCAGGTGTGAAACCTCACTGAACTGCTATTCAACGGGGAAGAAGGGTGGAGACAGTTTTTCAAAACAAGCCTTAGATTGATCAACAAATGATATTAGGTTCAGCTGGAGGTTTTTTCTCAGCCCTTATTCAGAGCTCCTTGCATATTTTTGTAGTGACAGTCTAGCTTTTAAAAACATTTTATTAGAAAAATTGTTTTTGAAATCATTTTTAATAAGAATGAGGTTTTACATATTTTAGCTGTTTTTTTGGTTTATAATTGAAATAATGTAAATAGTATTTTGTAGTAAATAGTATTTTGTATTAGTATCCATACCTTGACCTTAATTCTTTTGAGAGTAGCTGTGATACTATTATTACTAACAGATAATACTTTATAATGGTGTTTTTGCCATGCCTGTTTTCTTAGAAAAATCTCTTACATTAGTTTATTTTTTAGCTGCAAGCAAAAAGATTATGTTATTATTAGGTCATTTATTTATCCATATCTTCTATACCATATTCTTTAAAATCCAGTTACTGCTAGAAATATAAGTAATTAATCGTTTAATTTTTTTTCCCCTAATAGATTTGATTGAGAGTGTAGAGTGTAGACCATGCCTTCAGTTTAGATCTGTTGGTACAAAGTCATTGACTGGATCGCTGTACTAACATGAAGGCCAACAACTTCAGGGAGCAGGTGTCCTTGATCACTACATGGTTCCTGGAGTGGAACGAGTGCGAACAGACTGTGGCGCTGTACTCACTGTTGAAGAAAAGTTCACCCATCCAGGCCAAGTTTTTGGACCAGGTGATACAGCAGTCACTGGCGGATTGCACGGAAGTTAAGCAGTTGGAGGCTAAAGCAAACGATGAAGGTAATCATGTTTTTTTAAACAAATTGTATAACTTCAGACCAGAGCCCTTCACTTACGACTTACAGTCCTGGAGAAAGTGCATACCAGACTTTTTTTTAAATAGATAATGCTGTTTGTTGTGTTTAATCATTTTTTTTGTCTCCTAGTTGACTAAGTAAGTAAAGTAGTGTTCCCTTTCAAACCTGACGGTCTACGGGGCAAGTGAAGTAGAGTTCACTTGTTTCTGTGACCTCTGCACATGAAAGGATAGTGTGGTCAGCACTGTACCCAGCCGCCTTTAATTACCCTAACGTGTTGCCTTTACTTACCCTAACGTGAAATGACTAAGAAAAGACTGTAACTTTTTTATTTGGTGTAGTATCGATAAAAGAAAGTAAAGTACCCTTTAGTATCTTGTGGTCCACTAGGCAGGCGAAGTAGAGTTTTTATTTTTAATGACCTCTGCATGTGAAAGGATAGTGTGGTCAGGTCAGCACTAAGCCCATCTGCCTATACTTTCCCTAATGTGAGTCAGGTCAGGCACCCATCAGAGCTGAGTGGGCTCAGGGATGTCAGAGACCCATGCCTGGGATCCAAACTTGAGACTTTCAGGTTAGCAGTCATCAAACACAGTACTATTATACTTGTACTCAAACCTCATACTATCCATTGTGTGCAAAACAACTTGTGTCAAAGAAAAGCAGATGTTCTACATATATCACTTAGATGCTTTCCACCTGGGAATTATTTTTTAATTACTTATTTTTCATTAATAAAATAAGAGCGGTAAAAAGGCAACCACACCCCAACAGGGAAAAGTTTTACACCACAAAATGTAATGATCTTGAAAACATTCAGCAACTTCCAGCTTGAAATTTTAAAGCTAAAAAAAAATGCTCTATACTTTTAAACAACCCTTCTTTTGACAAGGAAATTGTTCAGTTCTCTGGCTAACCAGTCATTTTTTGTTACTGCTGTGTGCTGCCAGAGAGAATAGTTTCACATTGTTCAAAGCTTTGAATGTCTTTATACTCTGCTTGAGGTTCCTCTTTAGTTTTCCCTCTTAACTTTGTATACATAAGGTATTACATTGCTTTCTAATAGGTGTCTATATTTTGGAAACTTTCTAATCAGTATAATCTTTTGTTCATGCTATTGTCTGTTATTAATAGCTGGTCTTTAATTAAATCTGTTGTAAAACTTTATATTCTTAAAGAGTTTATGTGGTGAGGGAAGATGAGATGTTTTTGTACATACATCACCATAATGTGTATATATGTGGGTTAGGGATTTGACTCCACTGATGCTGTGGGCCGTATATGTGAAATCAACACAAGTCTAATTCTATGTCTATGTGATATTCAAGTTTATTTACTATATACACAAGTTTCAATATCCCAACACTGCTGCCACCTACTGTCTTATACACATCGGCTATCCAACTGTCCATTGTAACTACTCCCTAACAATCTATTCAACTGTAACCTCCTAACTAATACATAATCTCTACTCGACTGGCTTCTAACACTTTGTCCTACATAATAAACTGACCAACTCTGATGTCTATCCCAACTGCTGCTTACTCTAAACAACTACGGCTTGGTCAGCTGACCATCACACATGACTGGTTAGTTAGTTCCACTGCAAGTCTCTTGGCTCTGCTTGACCAATGTCCAGCTGATTTACGCTATGCTACCTCTCCTCTTTGATCTATTTTTGAATCTTGCATAGCTTTGCTTCATCATGAGGTAAATCTTTACTTATATTAATATGGATGTTGCCATAGTTACCAACTCAGTCCTCATTTGAGATGCTGGTCAGCTATGTTTTGCTTGGTTAAAACATTGTGAAAGGCTTCTACAGTTACCACATTAGTTTTAATTACTCTGGTATTTTGTAAGAGACACATGATTTATTTACAACTTCACTGTTTGTAAAACTTGTATGTGAACAAAGCAAGAAGAGGTTTTAACTTAGAATTAACCCACACCATTTCAACATGAATGTTTGTCTTCATCCCTGTTTGTTGTAGGGAGTTTTGTTGGCTTTCTGTCGCTGAGATACAGACATGTGCTTTGTAGGTTTTCTTTCACACCTTAGTACACAGAATAGTGTTTTGTAGGCTTTCCCCGCTATCTTCATTATGTAAACAAGTGCTTTGTGGTAGTTTTCACTTAGTTACTCAAGAGTGTAGCTGTGGTTCAGAAACGACATCAGTTCGATGAGGGGGGGGGGATGTTTTAGATTTTTTGTATGGTGATAGAGGAGATTCAGAAAATCTAACCTACATACTTTTACATTTAAAAAAAAAACAGATTAGAAACTGTATTTTAGCCATATTAGTTCCCGATTTTAAAAGACTTTTTTGTGTACATTGTTTTAAATATTGATCAGTACACTAAGTGTTGACCGAGCTCAGAATATAATTTAGAAAGAAATCCTCGTATAAAAAAACCAACAAGAAATGCAATTTCGAGGGTGGGTGGGTGGTAGGATGAGGTGTGACGCTGGGTAGGAGGGGGAGGTAAAAAAAATGGTGTACAACAGAGCGACGACGTTTACGGGTGACTACTTTGTGAGCACAAGGTCTACTTAGATCATTCATTATTTTATTTTCCAACCGCGGGTGACACAGGATGATCCACATCCAGTCCACAGTCCAATTATTGTGAAGCTGAAGGACAGCACACCGTGACATACGCGCCTTGTTTATATACTACATCCCTCTTGTTACGTCGGGCTGTGTTGGGCGGTGTTTCTTTCCCTTTGAAATTTAAGTGTGTGTGTGTGGGGGGGGGGGGTACAGCGTAAAAGTAATGACGACCTTGTAGAGGGAGGTCCTCTAAATCGACACGTAGTACAAACGCCTCTTTTTTTTTTAAAACGACTCGTGAGGAGACATCTTAATGTTTTAATGCTGTCGTGGAGTGGTCTAACGTGGATATTCACGTGTTTTAGTATGGGGTCATCCATTTATGACGTCCACACATTTTTTGGATTGTAGACCCCCCCCCCCCCCGTCCACAAAAATCCACTTTTTTTCCTTATAAAAGTCCATATGCGTCCACAAAAGTCAGTTTTTTCGGACCCCCCCCCCCCCGCGTGTGGAATGTCATAAATGGATGACCCCTATTGTGGACTGGTCTAACCCGGGGTAGACACATCTTTGTTGTTTTAATATTGTGCTATGGATTGGTCTAACTTGGGTAGACACGTGTGGTGTTTTAATGTTGTGGACTAGTGTTTTAATATTGTGGACTGGTGTTATAATATTGTGGACTGGTGTTATAATATTGTGGACTGGTGTTATAATATTGTGGACTGGTGTTATAATATTGTGGACTGGTGTTATAATATTGTGGACACGTGTTTTAATATTGTGGACTGGTGTTATAATATTGTGGACTGGTGTTTTAATATTGTGGACTGGTGTTATAATATTGTGGACTGGTGTTTTAATATTGTGGACTGGTGTTTTAATATTGTGGACTGGTGTTATAATATTGTGGACTGGTGTTTTAATATTGTGGACTGGTGTTTTAATATTGTGGACTGGTCTAACCGGGGTAGACACATCTGTGTTGTTTTAATATTGTGCTGTGGACTGGTCGTCTAACTTGGGTAAACACATGTGCTTTGTAACCCTGTGTTGTGAACTGGTTTAGCCTGGGTGGAATGGGCCAACAGCTTGTAACCACGAAACCTCACAATTAGCTCTCGCCAGCTCTCATGTAGTGATGTAGACATCTCTCGTATCGCGTGTTGATTGATTTCTCTCCCCTTGCGGTGCTGAGAGTAATGCGCGACGTCACTTCTTTGTCTCGTTTATTTTATGTAAAAAAAAAAAAAAACCCAGGGAAATTCGATAGGATAAAAATACAGAAATAAAAACCCCGGAGTGAATGATTCGTCATATTAAAAAAAAATCAGATATGTAAACAAAACCATCCTTATGCCTGTGCTAACCGTTTATTCCCATAGGCCACTCACATTTCATCAACATTTTTGAGTTGAAGAATTATTTTTTTTTTTAAATCTGATTCATGCCATGACAACAAGATGGTGACATTGATTTGTTTATTGTAAAGATATGGCGTAGATAACGCTGGTCGTAACAACACCGTTCACCTTTCCTTCACTTGTGTGTTTGACTGGGAATCTCGAGGGGAGGGGGGGGGGGCAGATAGTCATGTATACAGCACACATGTTTACTGCGTTTTTTTTTATAGACGTCGATGAGACGACACGGAATTAAATCCCGAGTAGAGTCAGGGATTGGGTATGAGTCAAGGTCAGTGTTTGGCTTAGAACCTGGGCGGGTATCGGTAATAGTCCATTAGTTACTTGTTGAACATTTTATAAATAAATATTTTAAAATAGTTTATAGTAAGCCTTTTGTTGAACATTTTATAAATAAATATTTAAAAATAGTTTATAGTAAGCCTTTTGTATGCACTAAAAGAAAGAGAATAAAAAAGTGTTTTTCAATACATCTTATGGTAACGCATTAACAGCAGTGATGCTTTATGCATTTTCATTATTTTAGTGCATAAATATTAACTTTTTAATTTTTCTATTATTAGTTAGTAGTAAGAAAGTCGCATGTCTAAAATATGCGTACTACTGGATTTAATGCATTTAATTAAAAAATTAAACATCTTTATTATGTCATCATGGTGCATTGTTAAGTTATCATTTAAAGAACCACTCGAAACTTGCAAGAAACGAATTCAGTGCATTGCTTTTAATTTTTATAGTTATTATTTGTCTGTTGTTAAATATTTATTATATTAACAGTGGTTCTTAACCTGGGTTCGATCGATCTAGGGTTCCACGATCGGGGTTTTGTCAGTGCGGACGAAAGAACTACGGTGAATTGATTGATTGTGAATGCGCATATATGAGACTAGTGGTGTTTGGTACATCCATAAAAGTTAAGAACCACTGGTCTAGAATGTGTTTAGAATAATACAATGCTTTTAAAGTATGATGAACGATTATTCGCCCCCCCCCCCACACACACACACTAAAAAACAAACAAATAATCTGCGTTAAACATTTACTTTTTGTATGAAAAACAAGTTTGAAAAGTATTAATTTCTGTAGTAGCTTTGCAGCATTATATTATGTCGTAAGGTCACCTGGGGTTCATGACCCCTTTTTGAAACCTTCTTCGCCCTACCTTACCACAGATGTACTAATTTGTATAAATATAGGTGCGCCTACTTAGATTTTTTTAACTATACACTAAGCTCGGATTTTTTAAACCGCCTTAGCACTGCCGTATTAATGTATACATTCGTTTGCATGTAAATTGTGTTGTGTTTGTTGTAGCATGTTGGTGTATTGAAGTTGAATTCAACAGGTGAACTTTTTGGTATCGCCCATCCCCGCCCGTCCGTGTGCCGTGTGGAAGTTCTGAATGAATGGAAACCCCCCACCCCCTTACACCTATCTTTGCTTGTTCGACGTTTCAAGTTTGAAAAAAAAAATCGGTTCGGTAAAAGTGGGTGAAATTACGATCGCAAGATTCCATTAATGACGTACGAATCACGACAGACAGATGCAAAGTTGACTAAAAGCTTGTAAATTAAAAAAAAATGATGTTTATTGGTAACATTAGCTAAATGTGTTTTACAGCTATTGACGTCTGTGTGGAGCCGCTTAGGTCAGGTAATTTTTCCCGTAGAGCGTCACGGGGCTTTAAAACTTGCAAACAACCGAGGACCTAATGGCTTTATTACCAGGGCTACACTTCCGACTAGCTGCTGGCTGACTTGACGAATGCTTGGCTAACGCGGAGGTCATTCACATATGACGTCATTTTTTAAAACACCTACCCCCTGACTCTAATATCCGTCCTTGAAAGGTCAAGCCTTTCTGATGCTGATATATGTGTTTCTTTGTAGGTGTAAAGAATAAAAACTAAAATCTAGTCTGCTAATGTTGAAAATCTCTCGTAATAATTAATTTGCCTTTTTTCTGTTTAAAAAAATACACTGTTGATGATGTATTCATTTTTATTTGCATGCACAATTAAAAATAAATAAAAACAACGCTATTATAAAGCGTGGATTTAAAGCAGTTTCATAAAAAATTAGTCTGATCAATATTGCATTTATCTAGCTTTAGAATTGTAAAGGCTGCGTATTATCAGCTATTCTTTGTAAATTATTTCCTAAATTCAGGTTGACTTAAATAAATGTACACATTTGGAGTAACCGGTTTAGACAATGCGGAAGTTTTGATATAGTATAATCTTAAGTGTGTACGAGAGATAAAAGGATGGTCTGATTTTAAATAAAATTAATTTAATGAATTTAAAAGTGAGAATAGTTTTCTACATAATTGTTATTAGCGAGGCACTGCCGTGATTGTCGAGTTTAGACATATCTTACTAGTTCACTCTTCATTGTACCCGTTCTTTGAATAAGGCCTACATTGAAGGCTAAATTTAAAACAGTCTTGTTATATATGCTAATGTAAAAAAAAAGCAGTTATATAATATTTTTTCGACCTTAACTTGTATCTTAACGTGGTTTGTCATTGACAGCTTACGTGAGATGCTTATACAAGCTTGTAGAGAAAAAAAAGTTACATTTTGTTGGCCTTAAATTAACTTGTATCAAAACGTGATGTAATAATTTCCATCTTACGTGAAGACCTTGTACAAGCTTGTAGAAAAAGTTGTATTTTGTTAACCTTAACTTGTATCAGAACGTGATTTTTATCTTTTCCGGCTTACGTTAAGAAGCTTATACAAACTTGTAGAAAAAGTTATACTTTCTCAATCTTAACTTGTATCAGAACATGGTTTGATCTTTTCCAGCCTACGCGAGGAGCTTGTACAAGCTTGTAGAAATAGTTATATTTTGTTAACCCTAACTTGTATCAAAACGTGATTTGATCTTTTTCAGCCTACGTGAGGAGCCTGTACAACGGTGAGCGCGAGATCGTCATCCACCAGCTGCTTCAGCTGTTGCCGCTGCTGCAGGCGGGCAAGTACACGGTGAAGAAGGCGTACCTGCAGCTGATCCACGAGCTGCTCAGCCACACCATCAAGAACGGCGTGAACATCGAGGAGAGCCGGCAGCTGCTGTCCTACTCGCTCATCCACCCGGCCATCAACACGGAGGAGCGCTCCAACTTCCAGAACTGGCTCGGCTGCCTCGACGAGCGCTTCACCAACAGCGTCTCGCTCAGCAGCGGCAGCACGACCAGCTCGGGGAACTTCACCGGCAACCTGAACGTCGGGCACACCCAGAGCCACAGCCCGTCCCCGGGCTCCTCGTCACAGCATTCCATGGCCCACCTCTCCCCGGATCTATCCCTCTCGCAGGAGTACATCAACGTGCCGGCCAACGCCCCAGGCATGCAGCACCCGACACAGTCCCACGGGCACAGCTCCCCCTCCCCCATCATTGGGTCTGGCGGCCACGCCTCGTGGCACCAGGGACACTACGCCAATTTCGACGCCAGCGCCGCCATTAACCCCTCGACGCCCAACGGAGATACTTCCGGGTGCGCTCAGTACGTTTCGAACGGACACATGACAGTGCGGGTGACGAACAGCCATGCTGGTGCCTTTGGTCCGTCACACGGGCATATGCCTCTTCATGCCACGTCATCGGCTCCTCCAAATTTTAATTCAATGTTGCCATCTGGACCTAACACTCAAGTTCAAGGTAAGATGTCCTCCATGTATACACCTGATTTCATTTTTTTTACCTATAATGTTTACATTATACATTATAATACATTTAAATTTATCTTTTTTGGCATGAGGTGTGTTTATGTTGCACATGTTAGCAGATAATTATATAAATAAAAATAAACATGTTATTTTCAGATGTAAGTAATATTTTTCCTTTATTAGGCTGTAGTTGTTAGTATTTATTATGGATTGCCATCGATGGAAACAAAATGTAGCCTGGAAACAGAATGTAGCCGTTGCCCCTATCCGTTTTCTCTAGCCTTTCCCTGTAAACCATACCCCCCCCCCCCCCACCCGTCACTTGAACCCTTCACTCGCCGTCACTCGTTCAGTTCATCACTCCCTATCCGTGATTCTAAAGTCTAAATCCTTCACTCCTAAGTATTCACGATAGGCCTACTAAACCCGACACTCAAAACAGAGAATGGAGAATGTAGTCTGATCAATGCTGACTTTACATAGCTGTAGCTCTCAAAGAAGCGGTCACGTGGTGTGCTCTTTATAAAACATTAATTAAACAAACGTGACTTCACTTTTCTCGTATGTCTAAGTCTACCGGCTTAATACGGCGTTCTTCTTCTGTAAGTAAATACACAAAAGGCGAGAGTTAGTGCAAGGGACTGTGTGTGTGTACACATGTTTTCTGTTCAAATGTTCTTCTCGCCCTGTACTAACGTCTCTTGCCGTGTTAAACTTAAACACGGGCACGTGTATTGTCAACTAATTGGGGTGTCGACACAACGTTAGGGAAATGTGTTTTTTTCCATGTTGAGTTGGCTACCGTTGTAAGAAACTTGAGCTTTGCTCAAATATTCCGCATCTTCTATAGTAGGCTTAAATGCTAGCCGCTAAGATGGCTAGGTTGAATTGCATATGGGAGGAAATCCAACGATCGATTATTCTGACTATTCGTCCTTTATTCACCGTTCTTAATTGGATTTTTCTTTAAAAGTACCTTTTCAAACTTTACGGTCCATGGGACAGGTGAAGTAGAGATCACATGTTTCTGTGACCTGAGCATACGAAGGGATAGTGTGGTCAGTACTATGCCCAGCCGACTTTGCTTTCCCTAACGTGAATCAGGTTCCCATCAGAACTGGGTGGACTCAAGGACGCCCTACGGACTCGAGCCCAGGATCCGAACTCGAAACTTTCGGGTTACCAGTCGAGCGACTCAATTGTAATATTGGATGGGATTTTCTCCAGCACAATTGAATATTATGCTTCAACATGTTATGCGCCATTGACTCGTTGAATACGACTTTAGCTTGCTTTACTTTCTGGATTTGCGCCCACCAACCATCTTCAAGGCATCGTTTAAAAATTTTTTTTTGTAGTTTTCTCGTCTAGATGGGTAGTTGTCCACAGCTTGCGAGCCTGATCTGCTCGGGACGTTTGGAGTTCGCGAACGTACGCTTTTTCACCACCCGACGACACAAGTCCTTCTCTTTCTTCCACATTTCCATTGAAAGCGAAAGATTACTCAACATGTTGGACAAGGCCGTACCTTCACGGGACAGGACATATTACTCAGAATTAAAGAACTACCATTTAGCTTTGAGAAAGGTGCCAAGTCAAGACAATCGACATTTAATTTATGATTTATTTAGTTTTAGAGTACATACATTCATGAAATCTACAGTAAGGGTGGAGGGGAAGGGTGGCGGATTAATCTGCACACTTTCAAGTTTACTGTAAATGTGTTAACACAGTAGTGCTCGTGTTATTTTAAATAATAAAAAGCTCCACGAGTAATTAATCACTGGAGCATGGCGTTACCCTACCCATTTCATTTACCCCCCTCCCCACCTTAGGATACGTTAGGGATATGGTTAGGACTGGGGTTAGGGTTATATATAGATTTAGAGTTGGGGTTAAGGTCAGGGTTCTTCAGGGTATGAGGGGTAATGACTCTAAAGGGGTAATGGCCCTGAAATCACAGCATCTGTATATTTATAAACAACACAACGCTGAGGGAAACATAATAGGGTTATGTTTCCTTAAATGTGTCAATGTTGCTAATCGTAATGCTTTGTTGGAAAATATTTATTTAACCTTTACCTACAAAAAAAGGAAACTTTAATTAATTCTTTAAAAAACTTATTAGGCATCCAATTAAGTCAAATTTGACGTCAGATTGCATTGTCATCGTGTCGTGTATTGACCCTTGTGCTAAATTTGAAAAGAATCGTGGAGTTGGAAGTGGTCGAAATTTCGCTCGCCAGTTTCGATAGCTGACTAACGAAGCACGGCGGATAGACAGACAAAAGACAGGAAGCAAGTTATAAAAAGCTTGTAATAAATAATTAACTTTTTGTGTGGACTACCATAACTGCATAACACATATGAAACGTTAGATAATGAGATCGAAACTGATGTTAACAACGTGTCAGCAACTCCCGCAATAGTAAAGCCTTTGTTCTATAAGATTGCCCTGCTTGTCCACGCATCCCTGCCGTCAACTTTCCGCCAATCATTTCAACTTCTCACTGTGTGACCGACTAGCTGAAACACCCGCTCTTGTTTACTGAGCTCTGTGTAATATATTCTATTTATACTTCCCTGTTGAAGTCATTGGCGGTTATAACGTCTTCAGCTATTTAATACTTGGGAATACCCAGCGCTTATATGTGAATTTAAACCTATGAAAAAATAAAGGTTAATCGTCTTTCCCTTGCTTCCGTTTCAACTGTTTTGTACCCTATTCGTAGCACCCCACTGCATCTTCCCTATTTAAAGTCCTGCCTCTCTGAAAAGAAAAGGAACTTCGCCTACTTAATTTTCAGCACACAAGAATCCCCTTGTCCTTTGAAGTAAAAAAAGAAATGTAAGTAAAGTTCCCTTTCAAACCTGATGGTCTATGGGGCAAGTGAAGTAGAGTTCATCGGTTTCTGTGACCTCGGCATATGAAGAGATAGTGTAGTCAGCACTATGCCCAGCCGCCTTTACTTTTCCTAACGTGAGATAGGTAGTCATCAGAGCTGGGTGTACTCAGGAACAATCTACTGACTTGTCCCGGACCCAAACTCGAGACGTTCGGGTTTGCAGTCTAGCGCTCTACCGCTAGGCCACGCCGTCCCATCTGCCCTTTGAACTTGACTACCAAATCTTTATTTAACACATATTATTTGTTTATTTCCAGCCAACAACAAGAATTCCCATGCTCCCTTAACACGAACCCACTCTATAACCCCACCAGTGCGACTCCAGACCTCCGACAAAACCGTATCGGACTGGCTCAAAACCAACCACCACCACCACTCACACCCCATCCTCCCTCCCCGACCACAACAGTACGCTGACCACGGCCCGCTGTCCCCGCAGAGTTCCGTGTCGTCCAGCAGCGGGGGGAGCGAGTCCCACCACGACGATGGACCCCAGCCTAGCCGGGACAGTTTCCTTGAGGAAGGGAGCGGCATGAGGGGTGAGTCATGTTTTTTTTTTTACCTGATGCTTAATGAGCTGTTTACGGCGATAACTGTTACCCTTTAAATTTGTGGCAGGGTTGAATTATGTTGGTTACTTGTAAAACAAGACAGCGCACTGATTGTATGGATGACTGTGAACTTCCTATTTTCTAGTAGCATGCTCAGATACTAAAAATTTAAACCATGGTTGTGTATTTTAGCCTGAATGGGAAAATAAAAAGGTGAATGACTTCTGTAGAGGAAGTTGAGGACTTGCTGATGCCACTGAACGTATGCATGAATGTGAACTTTCGTATTTATCTAGTGACAAACTTAAAAATTTAAACCATGGTTGTGTATTTTAGCCTGAATAAAAAAACTAATGACTCGCCTGATGCTAACAAACGATGCTAAGAGAAAAAGGTGAATGACATCAGTAGCGGGAGGTTGAAAACTTTATTTACATAACAGAAAAAAGCTACTTTGAATGAAAATGTATGAATTCATAGTCAACACAAACATTGCGTTGTTTTAGCTGCCCCACATTATGCCAACCTCAAAGCCAGAAATTTCTGAACCATTGCATGCTTATTGAATAAATCATGGAAGTTTAATAACTTTAAAAAATGCAGCGTTACTATGATGTAAACGAAGAAGTTGTATGTAAATCTAATACAATATTTCTTAGCAAACCGACCATTATAAATCTTTTGAAAAATCACAACTTTGATCAATGGGGTTTCCAGTTACAGGAAGTAATTCAAAACTCAGTGTGTCATCTATATGACCTTAGTAAGGTTGAGTAGCGTATTTTCTACATAGTGTGTCCTCTACATATTTGGGTAGTGTTTCCTACATGGTTGGGTTGCGTGTCATACATGGTCGGGTAGTGTGTCCTCTTTACATTTGGTAACGTGTCCTCTATATATTTGGGTAGTGTGTCCTCTTCATATTTGAGTCGTGTGTCCTCTACTCGGTTGTGTAGTGTGTCCTCTACTCGGTTGTGTAGTGTATTTTCTACATGGTTAGGCGGTGCGTCTCTTACTTATGTTGTGTGTCCAGTTTGAGGAAGTAATCCAAAAGTCAGTGTCGTCCCCCCACATACCTGCTGGTGTAGGAGTTTAAATTAGCCGTAGACAGAGGAGCCAGTCGTTCATCACGTCAGCTGAATGCGGGCATCTGGTTTTAGACGCAGTTCTCGGTCAACATCCACGATTAGCCGGTTAGCCGTCGATTTATTGCTCACTGTAAATCTGATCCTGCACTATTTTTGGTGTTATGTGCTGTTTGCCCGACCCCCGTCGTAACTGGCACTTTGGCAAACCTTTTGTACTGTAACTAGATGAGAGTGGTTGGATCCGGGATGCATTGCTTTGTCTTGCTATTGTTTTTTTTATAAGGTAGAATTCTTAATGATGTGACGTGTAGGGGTGTTGATGGAATCTAGTAGGCCTACATGCCTTCAGTTTTCTAAATCGCCCAAACCCTTTATCCCAGGCCTAAGAGACGGGGTAACCGGGCTGTAGTGCGACCGACTGGTATTCCAAAAGAGTTCAGATCCCGTCTATTTGGACGTTCCCGAGTCCACTCAGTTTAGATAGGTACCTGACTAACGTTAGGGAAAATAAAGGCCGTTAGACATGGTGCTAACTACACGATATAGTCACAGTAACGTATGGACTCATCTTCCCTATTGATCGGCAGTTCCAAAAGGATAGCTCTCCCCGATGTATCGGCTTAGCATGCATGTTCAATGTCATAGTTAGGGAGGGGGCAAAACATGCACCTCTACACTCACCAGACTAGCACTTTCTAGTGCCACACACAAAAATAAACCTTGTATTATTACTCTATCTTACATGTCTGATTATAACTATCTGGACTAGATGTTTTATGATGACATTGGCCGAGTTTGCTACACTTTTGTAAGGAGCCATTGCGCTTGTTACCTTTCTATTTAAGGATTAGAGTCTTATCAGCGGTAGCGGGTAGTAGATATGGTTTTAACAAAGGGAGTTTGTTGTTTGTTGCAAATCGGCAACATCTTCAATACTCTTTTTTACAAGAGTAACAGTCTCGACAGTGGATTGCTGTTAAAGTTAACTTTTTATCGTGAGCCTTGTTAAGAAGATAAACCAGTTAACTTTTTATCGTGAGCCTTGTTAAGAAGATAAACCAGTCAACTTTTTATCGTGAACCTTATTAAGATAAACCAGTCAACTTTTTTCGTGTCAACTTTTTTCGTGTCAACTTTTTATCGTGTCAACTTTTTATCGTGAACCTTGTTAACAAGATAAACCAGTCAACTTTTTATCGTGAACCTTGTTAAGAAGATAAATCAGTCAACTTTTTATCGTGAACTTTGTTAAGAAAATAAACCAGTCAACTTTTTATCGTGTCAACTTTTTCTCGTGAGCCTTGTTAAGAAGATAAACCAGTCAACTTTTCATCGTGAACCTGGTTAAGTAAAATAAACCAGTTAACTCAAGCCTCGGTGTGTCGGGGGATAATACAGTGCACGTCCTCATTGCATCCGACAGATTTATGTTTCGTCTCCATATGCCAAGTTCACTCCTTCGGTGTGTAATGTTTCCAGGTGCTGGGTCCAGTCTTCTCTCAAGTAGAAGTAAACGCTGTTTGTTTTTTCCCCTATAGCTGGGTGTGTATGTAAACAGGCTGTGGGATAAATAGTGGGAGTGTCCCCTGGAGGTCTACACGCTCCGTGTTTTTGATACGCTGACTGACATCCAGTTGAATTACCATTGGATTACACGGTCGCTTGTGTTTTGAAGCGAATGGAAAGGAAATGTTCAGCCACGGTTTTAGAAGGAAAAAAATGTGAAGGTCTTCCACGCCTCTCCTCCACACCCCCCTACCCCAATAGACACGCTGACGTCATACGCCGTCTATTCCTTCATGCAGAGTGTAAATATTTCATTTGGTTTATTTGGCTTCTTTTCTTTACCGTAGCCAGTCCAAAATTTTAAGTTCAGTCAAACATACCTGACTACTGTTTTCCCTAACTTCTTTTTTTGTGTGTGTGGCGTCCTTCGCATTTATAATCCTGATAGAAGTAAATAAAAACTACATTTCGTTTAGCCGTACCATCACGCCATCGTCGCCCGCACGGCCGACTTATAGTCCTTAAATAATATAAATAGTGGTGACGCGATAGGATTCTGGTTGTGCGGTTAACGGAAGCGTCTCTAAGTAGTACTCACTTAGAGACATTGATTTTTCTCTTAGCGTCGTTTGTTAGCATTAAGGCGCGTCATTAGTTTAAACACGGAGATCACGTAGTTGACGGTAATTGTCGTAATGAAAACAAATGAAGTATCTAAATGACCGCAGTTTTCATTTTAAGAAATCATGTTTTCAAAACGTGACCCATTCATTTCAAAAGGTGTAATTATTGCCATAGCTACGACAGTTTAAAAAATGCTTTTTCTTCGGGTTTAAAAAAAAAAATATCAGAGGTATTAGCTGACCGTATTGTTTTACTAGCATGACTAATTTCAAAAGTTCTAAATGAGTAGTATTCGTCCCACTGTTTTCGTTGAGCTTATGTTATGCATTTAAAAAAAAAAACGGGATGCCCAAGCACTATCGATGGATTGGGTTAATGGACGTCGCTGTGTGCTGTCAATCTGATTTGTTTCGTTTCTAAAACGAGCCAGAAATGTTTGCAGTCGTGACTCCTTTTTGTTTTCAATTTGATTAAATCTCAAAATAACATCGTGCCTGGGATTTATACAACGGGAAAAACATTTTTAAAAAAAATTCTGTCCAGCTGAAGTTATCTCAGAAGTTAACGTGATCTTTAAGCTTTAGTTTTTTTTTTATTTTCTCCCAGGGATGAAAACAAGCAAATAAACATTTGTTGATTCTCCAATCCACGTTTTTTTTTTAAACCAGTATTTGTAAGAATAAGGAAGAAAATAAAAAATAAGCATTGAACCAGATCAGGGGGAGGTTTTTGTACATGTTGGAACATACCTGGGTTTGCAATATCTAGGGTGTTGTTACTTGTGAATTTATTTCTAATGCAGTAATAGAATCTAATATAATTTTATTGCGCTTTTATGTCTGGTATTGATATGGCTGTGGTGGTGTTTTAACATGAGAGTAGTGTGTAGAATCCACCAGAGACCAGCTTATTCTATTAAAATATAACACCATCCCACACTCATATATTTACAAATGTTTATCTCCCTCCCAGTGCTACAGATGTTCTAATTCCCATTTCTCCCCCCCCCCCCCCCCTCTTCCCCACAACTGTTCTATTTTCAACTTTGATTGTAGGCTATTTATAGAAAGCATAACCATTTCCATGTCTCTTTTTTACTATTCAGTCTTGCTGGGGAAAAGCTAGGCCAGTCATTATTAATGTAGACAAAACAAAATCATCCAATAGTTAGTTACTGTATGTTTTTTTTTATTATAAAAAAAAATCCCCTTCCCCTGTGTGGTAAGAAAACATGACAATTAATCATTCTGTGTGTTATATCAATATTATGTTTAAATTATGCTTTGGGCAGGGACTTGACACTCTCTAGCTGAAAAGGTTAATTGTTAGGGAGTCAATGATTTACCCCATAAGTATTGCTTCACCTTTAACTGGTACAAGACTGAACTTGCAGTCTGTTGATAAATTAGTTTGTGCATTTACTTTGGTAGAGTTTTTTTTTTATTGTCATAAGGGTTCATCCATAAATGATGTCATGCCATTAGGTGGGGGGAGGGGGCAGAATGAACTTTAGTGATGTGTGTGTGGAGGATTAGACTGAGAACAATTACATTTAAAAAAAAACATCAGCAACTAAATTTCAGCTGTTCTCTCACATTTTTAAATGATACAAATAAATATACTTGGTAAATTTAATTTGTTAGAAAGATATCTGTCTTAAAAAACAAAAATTGCAATTTTAAGGGGGAAGGGGTGTGGGGGAGAGACATGTTAGGCTGAAGTGTGACATTTAAATTAAATAGAAACAGAGGGGTATTAAATGCATGTAGTAGAGGAAAAGAGTTATAATTTTGAAGCTTTTAAAGGTTGGAATCCTTCACAATACACATTGTTTCCTAAACATTCTCTGTGCAGTTTTTTTTTGAGTAACAAAGTAAATTTATATATAGTTTGCTATTTTTATTTAAAATGTTATTTATAAATGTTATGCTTTATTTATCCATAGATTGAACCCATGTCACTATCTAACTAAAATTGAAATGACTTTTATTTTCAGAGGTCCCAGTTTGGTTGAAAACCCTTCGCCTACACAAGTATGCTTATTTATTCAGACAGATGACCTATGAGGAAATGCTTGGTGTCACTGAAGATTGGTTAGAACAACAGGTAACTAAAAACCAATCCATTTTTTTGTTTTGATTTAACTTCATTTTCATTGTATAAAAAGTAGTTTTAAATAATTAAATTTTAGATTAAATTATTATACAAGTTAACCTTTAAGGTTTAGCCCCTGTAGTTTCAAAGATTGGTTTATGAAATAATAAGGGGTGGGCTGCTCAAGCTATAGTTTGTTTTTATTTTTCAGCATGTAACTAAAGGTGCTCGGCACAAAATTTATATCAGTATTGAGAAGCTCAGAGAAAGACAAGATGTCCTCCGCAAGTTAGAGAAGGTAAGGTTAGACAGCAGAAACTTGCTTCTTCTTCTTCTTCGCCTTTTTCAACTCCCTTTGCATTACAACGTCCTTTTATGCTTTCTTAGTTCTTGCTGTTTTTTCCATTTCTTTCTTACTTTCTGACTCTTGAGTCTTTCATTAATTGTGTTTTTTTTTTTAAATTTATCTATGCCAGGTATTTTTTGGGTCTTTCTATTTTTCCTGACCCTAGTGGACTATATTTTGTCTGGTAAAAAAATTTTGCCAGTTTTCTCAACTTATGGCCTATCCATCTCCCCAGGACAATCCTGTCTTTTCCCTCACTGCTGTATATTTGCTGCGATTGTATAAAGATTTTATAATTTTGTTTTGTATTCTGTTATTTACATCATTTATTTACTCACCAAAAAAAAAATTGTTTCCAGAGTGTAGTGGACGAAGGAGGAAATATAAAAACTGCTTTGGGTGAGATGAAAGCCATGCTGAACACACCAATCAAAGCGTTCAACTCCAGCCACAACTTGCTGGCCTCCGCCATGAACAACCCTGCCTACAGGACCACTCTTTCCTCATCCCCACAATCTCCCTCGGGGGATGATGTTGTAGAGGGGGACCTCCCTGCTCAGTTTTGTAGACTCATGAGTAAAGGTGGGTAGGATTTTATTTTAATTTTTTTTTTCAGGGACAAAGATAAATTTAAGAATTATTACTTAAGAAAAATGTTTTAGAAGGTAGTAAGAATGGCATTTATGAGACGGAGTGGTCTAGCGGTAGAGAGCTGGACTGCTAACCAGTAAGTCTTGAGTTCAAATCCGGGTTCAAGTCAGTAGACCGTCCATGAGTCCACCCAACTCTGATGGGTACCTAACTCACCTTAGGGAAAGTAAAGGCGGCTGGGCATAGTGCTGACCACACTATCTCTTCTATATATGCCGAGGTCACAGAAACAAGTGAACTCTACTTCATTTGCCCCATAGACCATCAGGTTTGAAAGGGAAACTTTACTGTTAAGATTGGCAATTATCCAACTGTGTGTACTAGATTTAAAAAAAACTAATGCTTGGGGATGCTTGATTTTTAAAAAGAAATCTGAATTTTTGCCACTTTGTTTTCCCCAGTATGCACACAACTGCTGGTAGCCTCCCGTCCTGATGATGAATGTTTCCAAATATACCTTCAGCTTATTGATAAGTGCCTAAACCATGAAGTAAGTTGGCGTAACCTGTTTCACTCACCTGCTGTGTGTTGCATTTTATTTTAGTAGCTGTTCTTTGAAACCCTAGAACATACATTTATAAAGTAATCTATCTGTATCTAAGGGGAATAACTCGTTAATTTTTTCAAACATACAATATCGATTTCCTTATGTCTGTGTGATCCATATCATGAAAAGACATTTAAGAAAAATTACATTTCTCACACTTGATTCAGGAGAATGTTACTTATATTGTTAAAATTTTGAAATTAATCTGAATATTTTTGGTAGTATATTAATATTTAATCACTTATTATATGGACTGGTATTGCTTACTAACATTATTTAAATAAGATTTTATTTGACAAAATTCTCAGGCATTCTCAAACCGTCAAAAGAAGTTATTGCAGTCATGGAAACAGTCTGCCCAGAAAATTTGGCAGCCTCCCCCTCAGAAATATGGAGACAGATTTCGTAACAAACCCCCGTAAGCCATCTTTAAGACTATCGTATTATCATCGCTTTTTTCAACTCAATAAACACAACTTTAAAAAAAAAATTGGAATAAAAAATTACATTACTTTGTGTATAGATTTCCTTTGCAATAGTTTTATCTGTTTAAGTATTGTACTTTTTGTTGACATTTTTGTTATTGTTCATTGTAATTTAAATATATCATAAAAAAACTATCAGCAGAAATTATAAGATCCTAATGCAAGAAGCTGTATAATGTTTTTATCAAACAGGTTCATCATTCTTTATAATCTGGTTAAAATAACATGTTTTCTTTCTGTGTGTTAGATATGTCAACACATTCCCTATCGGTTCTGGTTCTTCACTGGGTGGACGTATCATGCCCCGCACTAACCGCATACCTGTGCCCCCTTACAGTCAGCCTCAGCAGTGGAGCTTTGGGACCAAAAGGTCCATTGTGGGTGGGGGCTGCGGAGGGGGGAGTAACGGTGGGCACATGCCAGTCATGAGAAACAGTTCACTCAACACTTCCTACCTGAACAAGCCAGGTCTCCTTGAGGTACTTTATTCATCTATTTCAATTACTGTGAATATTCTTTATTATTAAAACTTCTGTTCCATAATGAGCTCTATGGAAAGAAATTTTATTATTTCAATTACTGTGAATATTTTTTAAAATTAAAACTTCTGTTCCATAATGTGCTCTATGGAAAGAAATTTCATTATTTCAATTACTGTGAATATTCTTTTTATTAAATCTTCTGTTCCATAATGTGCTATATGGAAAGAAATTTCATTATTTCAATTACTGTGAATATTCTTTTTATTAAATCTTCTGTCCCACAATATTGTACGGAAAGAAATTTCATTAATTTAAAAAAAAAAACTTCTAAAATCAGTCTTAAAAATATAAGAAAGCTATTGTTTTACTAAGAATATATTTTACAATTAAAATAATTGTTTTTAGTTTTAATATGAAAACTTTTGTGTGACCTCAGCCTGAATGAGGTATCTATGTGCCAGCTCAGAGATGTCATGGCAGATTAAGCCAAAGAGCTGAACCCATTGTGTTTTAAATGTTCACTCTTACTTCTCTTCCATACTCTCAACTGCCCAAAAATTATTTAGCAAGATGTTTGTTTAAAGAGAATGATGTACAATTTATTTCAAATGTTCCATATTTCAGCAAACTAAACAACCCATTTCGAGAACTCATTCTGCTCCAACAAACAGGCCCTTGGCTGTCCCTGTGCAAGGTAACTGCAGTTCATCCCCATTCATTCCAGGGCCCTCATTTTCCACCATTCATTCTTGGCCCATCATTTATTTCATGTAATATTTTCTACTATCAATTCTGAGCCCATCTTTTTGTTCATCTAATATTTTCCACCATCAGATCTGGGCTCATCATTTTCAATTACATTAAAATTTTCTTTGTTGTTTTTTAATACGTTTGTTTTTTAAATTAATGGTTGTATTTATCTCCCCTCCCCCACTTCCCTCAGGTTGTGAGAATGCAAATGATACTGAAATCAATGCTCGCCTTGACTCTCTCTGCATTAGTATGACAGAACATGCACTGGGAAATTCAGGTAACCATTTTAAAAAAAAAATTATAACTTTGTCCATTAGTCAAGATGGTTATGTAATAATTTGTTTCATTAAATTTAATTGACAGTGATAGCAAAATAAGGTTCACTTTTGCAATGAGATCTTTTAAATATACCTTTACTTTCCCCAATGTGAGTTAGTTACCCATGAAAGGTGGGTGTAGACTGAGGGATGTTTTACTAGACATTTTCAGACATGAAACTGTGATTGTATTATAAACGTAACATTGGTAACAGCTCTTAGAATAATCCAAACATTGAACACAACTTTATATTCTTTATTAACCAAATGTCTTAACTTTGTAAATTACAGACACCAATGACAGAGGCTCTGTGTATTAAAAGTGGGCTAAGGAGGTCTCTAATCCACCGATAGTTTATTGTCCTGTTTGTTGTTGGTGTGACCAGAAGGATTAGGGTAGAGTTCAGGGGATTCCCCCAAGATGTTCACCGCATGTGTAAGCAGGAGATTAGCACAGGGGATTGTTTTAGAGGAGTTACTAACCACTTGTGCACTGATGTGTGACCAGGACTTTACCATCTGTGTATTAGGGTTTACTGTTTGGGTTTTAGTAGTGTGTGTAGAATTGTTTTTTATCAGTTGGGGGTCTGTTAAAAAAAAAGATAACTTGAGGAATTTTGAGATTTGTCCAGTTAATTTTTATTTTCAAAATTTTATTTCGTGGATTGAAATTTGTTGGTTAAGAATCCTTTACTACCATCAGGAAGTTGTTTTTGAAATGAATGTAAAACCATTTAGACTATATTGTTTTATATATTGCATTGAAAAGAAAACAAAAGGTAGTATTTGTAATGGTTTTACCTACATAATATGTGCAAAGTTTTATTGTAATAGTTGTTTATCAGTTTTTGTGATGAACTTTTGTCAACCCTTATATGACCTATATTACAATGTTGGTTTTGAGAATCATAATATAGGATCTTGTTTACTGTAGTCTTTTTTTTTCCATTCTGGTATTTAACATGCAAATTAGCAACTTTGGTGATGATGTCTGATTTTATTGCTCTTTAAATTTGGTTGTAATGCATTATTTTTGTTACTTGTACATTTGAACTGTGTATATATTTGTATAACCTTTAGAACTTGTGAGGTTATCTCCACTTGGCAGCAAAGATTTACAACCCTTTAAAGAAAAAGGTTACTAAGTGCTAATTTTTTTCCTCCCCCTGAATATTCTTTAAAATTGTATTTTGATTTTGTAATCTGCTACATTTACTTTGATGGCTTAGGTTATTCTGTATTACTTTGATGATTTTAGTTTTCGTCTGTCTTTGCCTTGAAAAAGATTTTTTTCACTGTGTGACCTGTTTGGCCACATCATCCATGACTGCTGCCTGATTAAAAAGAAAAATATCCTTGCTAATCTTCTGTCTACAAATTTCATCTTTTCTTAAGGTCTTTTATTTATATGTTTTAAAAAAAAACAACATCTGATTGTAAGTGTATGAATATAATCAAGCCACTGGATGGGAACAAAATGGCTGCATTTAAATCAATGAGCTAAATTGATGGTGATGCTGTTTACAATGATCACCCAATATTTGTGTGAAATTATGTCTGTTAAACATGTCAGTGACGTGTGAAAGTGTCTGGGTATCTGCCTCTGAACAAGAAACCTTCAGCCGAGGTTTAATTTTTATATTAGGTTTAAAAGGGAAAAAATGGAATGTGTCTGAAACTGGTAAAAGTGAGATGTAAATGCGGTCCTACTTTTTATGGTACATGAATCTCATTGATATGCATCTTGTTGGTTGTGAGAGTATGAACAAAAATGTTGCTTTTGTAAATGGAATAGTTACAGGTTTACAAGTGTGTAAGTAGGGGTGTGTGCGCCTAAGGTAATCTGCTGATATAGATGCTAGTTAAATTCATCAGGCTCATTTTGAGAAAATAATTGTTTATTTTTTTATTAGTAAGTTAAAAATTGTTTTGAGTTAATTTGACTGTAATTTTTTTTGTATTGCTGTGTTGGCATTAATCAGACATTTGTGTTTTCAAAGTTGCCAAATTTGCTACCAATTTTTAGATTAATTTTTTATAGCTTTGTAACAGTTATACACAGAATTCTCTGTACAGCTTTGTCAGTGATTGAAAATATTTAGACCTTTCTTTAACAATGTGGAAAAAAATTCATTAATGTATATTGGTGAATGATTATATAGGGTTAAAACTTAGTTTTGTTTTTAAAAAAATATTTTAAAAATTACCATTGCATTCATTTGAGGTAATGAAATGTGTAATATATTTTAAAGATGAGAATCAATTACATTTTTAGAATTGAAGAATTTTTTTTCTCTGAAGCCATGCTTTAGTTATATGTTTTTAAACTGTCGGATAGCATGGTTTTTTTTTTTTTTACAACAAGGTATTTTTATAGGTCTATATTGGCAACTATCTTCTCTTGTGGAGAATGGAATGATGTATGTATATTTTGATTATGAGAGGACAATACATATCTTCTAAAAACCATTGTGGATTCATTGGTGTATGTGGATGCGTAACGCATCAAGTGAAATCTTTAGTGCTTTTTTTTATTGTGAGGGTCAAGTATTTTTTTTTAATTTTAATTTTTTCTGGAATTCAAACAAGAAATTTTATAAGCAATTCTAGGCCATTGTAACCTGATCAATACAATATCTTCTTTAAGTGATTTTATTGAAGAGCATGTTTATACATAATTAGAATTGGTGTCAAAACTCGTACACCTTTAGTTTGTTCTTATAAAATACACAGTATCAGGATAGGTTATAAAGGATAAGAAAATTTCAAGTTATTTTTTAATGGTTCTATTAATAGATTCAATTTCATGTTCTATTAAATGAAGATAAAACAACTAAGCCTAGCAATGTTAGGTTGTTTTTTTTTTTTAATCCATGTTGCCTTTTTTAAAATCTTGGATAATTCTGCCTATTTTTTTAACAGAATCTTGTGTGCTGGTTCACACATTTTACTGACAATTTTTTTTTAGTCCATAATAAATTGTCATAATTGATTTTTAAAATATTGTTTTTTTTTTATCTTCTCACACTGTTGTGTGTGGTGGCAGGGTGTAAAGTTCTCTCCCTTAGTCAAGAACCTGCTCTATGCAACATTCTGTATCAAGTGTCCATTTATTTAAGAACCATTATAAAATTAAATATCCAGAAAATTGCATTATAAAGATAATTTTTCAGGTAGATAATGCTAAAAATAATTCTTGCTTTGTAATTTAAGTTTCTGTGTTTGAGTTGCTTTATTGTATCTTATTCTTAGTGTTAAGACAGAATAGCGTAATTTTTTAAACTTACAATTCAAAATTTGTGCTGTCAAAACTTTGATTTCAATGTCAGATTTTATACTTGTTTTGTGAGTTAATTTAAAAATTAATTTATTTTGTATCCTTAATTGTAAATTCAGATTTATTTTTTATCATTTCAAGAAAATGTGTGTAGCAGCTTCAATAGTATACTTTGCCACACACAGTTGGCTCATTGTAGAATACAATTTTTAAATGAATTTTTGAGAGCTTGTCCTTTTTTGTGACTCGTATTTAGTGTTTACTAAACTACCATATACAACCTTTTTTGTACAAAAAAAAAATGTAGTTCAGAGAAACTAATATTTATGTATTTTAACTGAAGTATTGGTTTTGTAGGTCTAAATAAGGAAAATTTCAACTTTGGGTGAAGAAAAAAAATGTTGGATTATGCATGGTGTGAACAATCATTTGATCTACTCTAATATTTTTTAATGGTGTTTTCAGGCACAGTTGGTGCTTTTTTTTTTGCATACTTTTTAGTTCTTACAGTTCTAATTGCAATGGAAAGATCCATTTTTGTGTTTTTGTTAAGCTTTTCACAATTTAACATTTTTTAAACAGTTAAGTGCTTTTAAAAAATATTTTAAGTTACAGTTAATTGTTTTTCGTTAATTGTTCAGTTGTTTTTTTTTTCAAAGTTTGAAAATTTCCCTTTTTAAAAAAAAAAAGTGACAGCCAGTTTTTTTTTAATTGCTGATTTTTAAGAAAGAATTTTGGCAGAGATTTGTTTTGAAGGTGCCTTAATTAAATAAAGATGTTTTTAAAATAGCGGTTTTTTCATTTTTAAGCAAAGCAAGAAATGACTATTAAAACTGTGCAAGTTGTGATAATTATTGAAAAGTAAGGTATGGTGTTCTCACCACCTAAGGCAATTCATGCAAGTTATTACCAAAGCATGCTTTCAGAATATGTGATAGTTTGGTCTGTTTTATAAACTCTTGTTCACTGGTGTCAGTTGACATGGAAAATTGAAAAAATAAAATATTGGAAGAAAAAAAATGCAGATAGGAAATTATTCCTTAATGTACCCTTTTTTAAAAAAAAAAAGATATATCTAATGCAATAATTTCTCACACATTGTATGCTTTTTTTTTCCTCTTCTCACCCCCTTCTTTCTATGCATTTTTTAAACACTTGCTTTGTGCTTAAGTTAAGGGGCATTGTTTTACCTATTGGTAGACATGTCACTTAACTTGTAACAGAGTATGGTAGGGTGTATGGTGCAGTCAGGGTAAGTCTATTGCTTTCTGTGTGCCCATAAAGTTTGTATGGACTGAGTTACCTCACTACATATTATCTTCTGCTGCTGCTATAGGGCTAGCTCCCTTGTCCATTATTAAAAGTATATTTCTAGAAAATCATGTACATTTATCAATTCATTGTAATATTGTCATTAGTATTCACTGGAAAAAAAAAACTTTACTGCTCTGCCATATTTCTTGGTTCTCATGTCAGCAATTATGTGAGGGGATAATTTTTTTTTTAATCAATACACTATTTTGAATGAAACTTGCATTTGTTTTTTATTCTCTGTTGGTTGTTCGTTGTCTTTATTTTATGTTGAAGAGTATTAGAAAAACACTGAGGAAACATAGGAAGGGTTTAACATACTAAAAATAAACCCAAAGTCTTGAAAATACATTACATTTAAATGGAAAAACAATTTTATGACAATAACTCGAAAATCATGAATTGAAATTTGATGGTGTTTGCTTTCACCCTGAAGGAACCACAACTAATTTTAATCCACTTGCTTGTTACATCTTTTTGAAACCAAATCATCCCTCTATGCACTCTTTATATAAATGGTCAGTCATTAGTGATTATCCATGTTATTCTTGTGTAATATGTAGCCCAGTTAAAGTGTTACATATTTATATTTGGAGTGGGTGTAAATGGGCTCTTAGTTTTAGGGCTGATGTTGCAGAAAATACTTTTCAATAATTTTTGCAATGGTGCATAGCTAGTTTTAGCTTCAAGTGATTTGTGTAAAACAATTTTACTTTATACATAGTTTAACATAGAAAGTGATGAGTTTCGCAAGCAGGTATTGGAGCCTCTTTCACTTATATAATATGGTCAGCACTATACACATTGGCCTTTACTTCCTAAAAAAAATGGGGCTATATGAACACTGGGATACCTTGACTCTAGTCTGAAACTAAACTAAAACATTTGGTCTAGGTCTTGATTGTGTTTTGAAATATAATGAAATGTCCTACTAGCTATTGGTTAAAACTATGGTGTTGTATATAACACAATTTCACAAAGCATTTGTGGCATGTAAATTCTGTTTTTACAGCCATTCCTCCTCTCCTCGTATAAGTGTGCCAAGTTTTTTTTTAACAACACTTACAGGTTGATCACACATTTGACCTGTCTTTCTATAATGTTTATGCAAAAATTAGCTACCAAAAAATTATTTTAACAGCTCGTCTTCACACACTGAAGGCTTATACCCACACTACTACATTCACAATGTTGATTCAAAACATTTATAAAGTACTTGTTCAAGTGTTGGATATATATATATGCAAAAATGTATAGGCAATAACACCCCTCTCTTGGGTCCATCAGCTGTATTGAGAGAGCTGGCCTGATACATTCAATAGTCTATTTAAATATGGAGCCATATTATTAGGTACATCTTATTTGTTCTTCATTCTTAATTTTAGTGTTGGAAGGGATCCCCTCCAACACAATATGTGTCAAGAGGTTATGCGCCATAGAGACCTTTCTTTTTTATTTGCTTCCATAGCCTTTGTCCAATCATGAACAAACTACAAGGCAGCAGTTGTTTGATTTCGGAGTTGTCTATTCTAGACGAGTGTCTGTCCCCAGCTAACGAACTGGTTCGAACTCGAGACTTTTCAGTCTAGCAACCATGAGCTTTACCAACTTGACCACACCGACCCCCTATTAGGTACATCAAAGGGGACCATTTTGAATAAACTAAATAGAGTAATTTTAAGTGTGCATGAGGACTAAGTGTATAAGTAATGAAGAAAATAAACATTTTATCTCATTTGTTGTAGTTTATAGTATATACCTGTGGCTAAAAACACTTAGAGAGGAATTTTCAAAAGCATTGCCATTATATAAAAGAAAAATTGCTGGTCCCTGTATTGGATTGAACAATCATGTTAAGATCTCTATGTTAAGTTAAAATACATATCCTACACCCCCCAACCCCCATAAAAATATGATTTTTAAACTGTTATATAAAAAACACCAACAATAAGATGGAAGTTAAGAACATTTAATAAATCACTTCTTTTTTACATGTGGGAGGTCAAACTTCCCACGCACACAGGTCAGTTTCACACCTGGCGTGTCCTGCAGCCGCCCACCTTCAACTAATACTATGTTGTGCTCCTGCAGGTTATGGCCTTCCCCTGGTACGTACGCGGTCACTTCTCTTCCTGTGCTGAGACGAACGCGGACGCACTTTCTGTTGGCTGAATTTGGCTTCTTGGGCTTTTTTATCAGAGTTTTCAGGACAATCCCTTTAAGTTGTGGGTTGCCTTCTAGAGGACTTAATCTCTTCCTTCTCACTTTCTTGTAAAGACCTGGAGTGTAAGTTTTAGAAATAATTTTAACATGCTGAAAAAGTCCAACCTTTTTTCCCGCTCTAAAAGTAAAGCTTAGGACTGCATATTCTACATCAATACAAACAAAACCTTCTAGAGATGAATTAAGACCACAAAACGGGACTAAACATGATATGAAAATATTAAAAATCAATAAAATTTTGGTACATTCTTAATACAGGCAAGGATGATTGTAAACAGTGATTGTAGCACAATCCTTACTATGTGACAATTTATTATATTTGCATCCCGTAAGCCACTATTTTTTTTTCATGCAAGATAATCTTAATAAATAAACAGTTCATTTTTATTTGCAGATATAATTAAAATAAACTACAATGATTACATTTTTAATGTTTTTCAAAGTAAAATACAACTAATATCAATTTTATCAATGTTGGTGGTTATTAAGCATAATAAAAACTGTCTTTAAACTACGGTAAGTAATTTCTCAGATAGTACCTTTACGATGCATATATTCTAGAGAGATAAGCCTCTGTGGTATTAAGCAACAGGATGCAATGTTCTGTAAGATTCTACCTGAGTCTAGAGGTGAGAAAATAAAGACATTTGAAATATAAAAATAGAATAAAAAATAAACTAAGTTTTAAAAGTTACAAGTCATATTCCAATAAATTAGGGTGGGCCTTGATATGAAGGAAATGTAAGGCCAAACAAGGTAGTGACTTCACTTCCCCAAACAATATTAGGTACTAATCAGAGCTGAGTTTACTCAGCAGTACACTAGAGACCTAAAACAAAACTTTGTATCCTGATCTGAGCTTGGAAATTTTAGGTATACTATACTGCTTCACCTCTCCATTTAAAGATTTCAATTTAAAAAATAACAACACTACTTTTAAAATAATGCATCTTAATTATTTATAAATGTAATTTCCAATACACATCAAAATACTTACAAAAATTATGAATTGATTTATGTTCAGCCATAAAACTAGACCTCTGAGCACTGTTAAGACAGGTAGTGTTTGCTGCACTGAAAGATCTTGATGTAATACATGACAGGGGGGTTCTAATAGCAGATGTCAAAACACCGCTGAAGACTGAACCCAGTCTTTTTGTAAAACCAAACAAAGACATTGTTACTGAAATGAAAATAAGTTGAATTTTATTACAAATAAGTTTCATACATTATCATAGATAATGACATAATATCCATTTATTTTTTAAAAGGGATATAATATAGTTTTAAATGTGGGACGGTGTGGTAGGATGGCAGAGCATATGGCTGCTATACCGAAAGTCTCGAGTTTAAATAAAACGGTTCAAAGTCCACAGATCGTCCATGAGTCCACACAGCTTTATAATGGGTACCTAACTCACATTAATGAAAGTAAAGACGGCTGGACACTATTCCCTTTAATATGCCGAGGTTACTGAACTAAACTTCACCTGCAACATGGACCATTAATATTGAAAGAGTACTTTACTTTTTACAGTTGTAATTACTGAAATGCTAAACTAGTTAAAACTACTGATTAATAATGCCATCTTGATGTTTTGTCTAAAATTCAGTAAATTCAAAAAACTTAGTAAAGTTAGTAGGCCTATCTGTAAAATAATTTATGCTAGATCTAGATCTATATAAAGTAAAGTTATACCTAGTTCTACACTCTAGATCTAGTCAAATATTAAATTTGCATCATTGAATTTTATTTTTGAATCAATAGCATTTTTCATTTAACTTAACTTTTTACTTTATCACACACACAATCAGTCCAGTGTGAGTGTTCAATGAATGATCAATGTGAATGATGGGGATGAATTGAATGCAATATTTAGATCTAGTATGACTTTTATACATGTCAAACTAGATGTAGAATATTCTAGGTCTGTTACTGAACAAAGTTAGTTAATAACATTTTTTACCAGTTTCATTGCATCCAGGTAAAATCTAATTTTTGCTAAGAAGGTCACTGTAGTTTTCTATAAATCTACATACACCATGAAGTTACTCTCCTGCAAAGAGGTCAGTAGTTCTCTCCCTTATAAATAGGTCAGAGCGTTCATTATATTATATTGTACATACATCAATTATTTTGCTTGTGTATTAATATTTCAATAAAATACTTTCAACAAGTTAAAAATAAATATTAATGTATGTTTGCATCACAATGTAATATGTAAACGTAATTTCAGAGATAAATATAAATATTAATAATAACGTTTATACTTAAATTAAAACTTCTCCCCGAACCTTAGACCGAATACCTATGCTAGCGTATCGCAAATTAAGATATTCCTAGACTCAAGTTAGGCTGCAGACTGTTACATTTGTTAGGCCTAGAGATCTATTATTAGTTTATTAGGACAGTTAATTTTTTGTTTTTATTTTTCGCCACGTTGAAGCTAATTAGAATTTGTCGACGACCTAATAGAAAGAGCACTCGGTTGGTCAGTTGTAGATCTGCATCGCATCTAATCTAGCTGATCTAGAAATCTAGGTTTAGAATTAGATTCTAGCTAGAAGATATCAGCATTCTTAATTCTAGCTTAGCTAGATCTAGACTAGATATCTACATTAAAATTCACATTACAATCTAGATTCTAGATCTAGATTTAGATCTAGTCTAGATAAGAAAAAGATCTAAATAATTTTTTAAATAAAGTACTCACTAGTCTAACTACTAACTTAGTAACTAAGTTACTAAGTCTAAGTAGTAAAGTATTATTAAGTAAGTAACTTAGACAGTAGGCCTAACTAACTTAGTAGGTCTAAGAAGTAACTTAATAAGTTACTAAGTACTAGATTTAACTAAACTAAGTAATTAAGTAACTAAGTTGTAAGTATACTATTAGTAAGTAGATTTAGACAAAAGACTAAGACCTAGATCTACTAACTAAGTGACTAAGACCTAAGAGTCCCCGAAAGGCAAAAGACTAAGACAAGAATAAGACACAAACTGTGACTAAGACAAGATGAGTTAGGTAGTCTGTTATTAAGGTTATTTCACAGGACTGACAAAACCTAACTTTAAATTAATTAATTTCTTCTAGATTAATTAAACAATGGCATCAAATAATAATGTGATGATTGGTCCTGAAAAGCTGCCTTTGAAAGTTCATGGCCATGCATCATTAGCAGCCATGCAGTTTGTTGCAGGAGGGTGTGCAGGTATAATAAAGAAATTACTAAAATAACTATGAATATTAGCCTAATTAATTATTTTTTAAAATAATAACTAATCAAATCTTTTGTACATTTGGATCACCCATTTCATTGCCACAGTCTATTGGACACTAAAACATCTTCTTTAGTGACTTAAGGCTATTACTAATATTTTAAGGGGTCTTCCTTAAATGATGTCACACTAAAGGGGGGAGGGGGGTCTGTAATTTTATGATGGTGTGTGATGAGGGGGAGGGAGGATTCAGATGGTGTGACATCACACTTTTGCAATATAAAAAAAGCGATGATAGAAAACAAATTTTAGCCGTTATGTTGTGGTTTAGAAAGCCTTTTTAATAAATTTTAATATAAATTCATTAAATTACTCTATGTTGACAGAGTTCAGACAAGCTTTTGGAAAAATATCTATGTTTTAAGAAAAATCTGTTTAGCAGACTTAGCCCTAAACATTAATTTTAAATAAGCATACGGACATGATCCAGAATAGCTGCGTATAAACCTTTCTATTTCATGTTTTCTACCATTTATGCAGTCTAAACTTTGCTATAGTCATCACCATCATGCAACAGTGTGGTCATATCGCACAGTACACAACAGTTAACCCAAAGGTCTTGTGTTTACATCCTTGGCTCCAGTGCTCCTTAGTTCTTATAGTTACCTTATATTTACGTGCCCTCCATACCACTTTTTATAGATCGAGTCATCAGCCAGCATTATATATATATATATATATATATATATATATATATATATATATATATATATATATATATATATATATATATATATATATATATATATATATATATATATACACACATATATATTTACATATATATTTACATACATATAGTGGTGCTAGGTGATGTTTAGACTTACAGAAAGTGGGATTAGGGTGGGCACATACTCAAGAGTAGTAACTTAACAGCTGCAATTTCAAAATATTTATATTTATATAAATGTATGTGTTTTTAATGTATTTGTTTTTATATGTATAAAGTATACATATGCAAATGTATTTTACCTTTTTTTTTTTTGTAGCCAATTTCATTTTTTTAAAAATTACCAGGCTTTATCGAAGTTTCTATAATGCATCCCCTTGACCTTGTTAAAACAAGATTCCAAATTCAGAGGGGCCCAGATGATCCCAACAGATACACATCAATTGTTGACTGTTTCCGTAAAATGTACAGACAAGAAGGGTAATCATGTCTTTTTAAAATTTATACTTTGGTGCAACTGTAACTAGCTAATCTATTATTTTTTTGGGATTTAATAAGGCAGTTTTCTTTTGAAGACACCATATTTAAACTGAGTTAAATAATTTTATTTCAGTATTTATGTCATATATTAACATTTTAGCTTATGTAAGCATATTAGCTGTCATACTTTTCTCATGAGAATAGTTTAAAATAAAAATAGATATAAAAGGTGTATTTTTCATTTTTTTCTTTCTTTTTTTAGTGCCTTGTCTTTCTATAAAGGAATTTTACCACCGCTGCTGGCCGAAACACCAAAACGGGCTGTGAAGTTTTTTACATTTGAGCGCTACAAATCCTTGTTTACTTATGGAGATTACTTGTCACAGCCATTAGTAAGGTTAATTAGAGTTATAAACCCATGATAGGTGTGCCGGTGTAATTTAAAGTGATGTAGCATTGGTTATAAGTAAAGTAAAGTACCATTTCAAGCCTGATGGTCTGTTGGCTAGGTGAAGTAGAGTTCACCTGTTTCAGTGATCTTGGCATATTAAGGGATAGTGTGGCCAGAAGTATGCCAAGTTTGACTTTCCCTAACTTTACTAAGATACCCATGAGAGCTGGGTGGACTCAGGACATTCTATGGACTTGAACCCGAGGTTCATACTTGAGACATTCAAGTTAGCAGTTATATGCTGTACTATTCGACCATGCCCTCCCTAGCATTGGCTATCTTGTATTATAACATAATCATTATAGCATTAGTTATGTCGGGTTATAGATATTATAACATAATCATTATAGCATTAGTAATTTTGGGTTATAATTATTATTGCATTATAGCAATGGTTATGTTGGGTTATAAATAAAAGATTATGCAAAATATAGCAGTTAACTCTCGCCATTGTCAGGTACTGGCACTTGCTGGGCTGGCAGCTGGATTAACTGAGGCTGTTGTCATCAACCCATTTGAGGTTGTCAAAGTCAAACTACAGGCAGAGAGAAGCAAGTTTAATGAGGTGAGTAGCCTCCCTTGGTTAAAAACTTCACTTACTTGAATAAAATTAAAGACTATAAAACCTTAGTAAAATATCATTTTTATAATCGATCTGTTTAGAAAATTGGTTTAGCTGAACGATAATTAAATACTTATTTAATAATTATCTCTCCTTTGTTTATCATTAAGCCGCAAGATTTTTCTTTAACTAGCTTTCTACATTGCCAGAACTAATTTTGACATAGTAATAAAAAATAAAAGTATTTGTCAAATAGTTTTTAAACAATAAATTTAACTATAACTTTCATTGTCTATTTTATTGTGCAAATTAAAAATATGTAATAACCAAATAATTACTGTCGATAGGTTCATATTTAAAAATATTTTATCTTACTTTTTTATAGCAATCAGGCACAATAAAAACAGCCAAAGAAATAGTTGCCAAAGATGGTTTTGGTTTGAAAGGATTAAACAAAGGTCTCACTGCCACACTAGGTCGGCATGGTGTCTTCAATATGATGTATTTTGGTTTCTACCACAATGTCAAAGATCTTATACCAGAATACAAGGTACTTGGGGATTTTCTAAGTTCATTTCAAGCAATCTCTTAATTTGCAAATGCTGAGGAATCAATTATGTGAAGACTGTGTATTAATACATTATCTACAGTGAACAGATTGTTTTCTAGCTATACTGATTTTAACTTTTTACTCTCATTTATATACAATTTTTCTACAATTTTATTAGATTATTATAGTAAGTAATGAGTGAATAATATTTTACTTTTCCAGGATCCCACTGCAGATTTTTTCCGCAGATTTTTGATTGGCTTGGCTGCGGGAACACTGTCTTCAATCATAAACATTCCATTTGATGTGGCCAAGAGTAGAATCCAAGGGCCACAACCTGTACCAGGACAAATCAAATACAAGAGTTGCTTCCAGACCATGGCTCTTGTCTATAGAGAGGAAGGGTAAGGCATGTTACACTTATTGAACTTTTTGCAGCTTGAGAGTGAGAAACTTATTTTTTTTTTAGTGAAGAGTAGTATATGATTTATGCTAAAAATAAATGTTATAAATGTTGAATTTTAACTCTGATGTTTTAAATCTTTGGAAATTGCATTAAATTAAAGTTAGTTGCAAAATGCATTTTGTTCTTGACCAATAATGTCTTTTATTTTTCTGTTTAAAGTTACACTTTCTGACCTAGTGGTCAATAAGTCAGATAAAGTAGAGTTCTCCTGTTTCTGTGTCCTCATCAATTTATGAAGGCATAATCTGGTCAGTTCTATGCTCGGCCACTTTTACTTTCTTTAACGCAAGTCAGTTACCCATCAGAGCTGGGTGGACTCGGGACTTGCTATGGGCTCAACAATCTAACATTTGTGTGCACTTCTGCTTGACCATGACGCCCCATGTGTTGAATATTTGGTATGCTGAAACAATGCCATCTGGTAATTTTTCTGACCACACAATTCCTACATACACCATGCCATGGAGACTTATCATATTATTTTCTTACTTTACCTGGAATTGATTCATCATGAGAGAAAATCTCTGTAATTATTTTATTAATAATATTTACTGTTTGAATTTTCAGGTATTTTGCTTTGTACAAAGGATTATTGCCCAAAGTACTACGATTAGGACCAGGTATATATTCTTTTTTTATTTATTACACTTGTTTTTTTATGTGGCAGAAGGTGGATATAATGGTGTAGTTTTGTGGTGAGCGGTGGATGTGATAGTGTTTGATGGTGGTGCAGTTGTATGTTGTATGTTGGATGTGATGATGTAGTTGTGTGTTGGATGTGATGATGTATGTGTGTGGTAGAAGGTGGATGTAATGGTTGAATTGCATGATGTAGTTGTGTTTGAAGTTGGATATCTTGGTGTGGTAGAAGGTGGGTGAAAGTGAGGTGTTAAAGTTTACAAAGAAAAAAAAAACTTTTTTCTGAAATTTTTTTTTTTCTATTCCACAGGTGGCGCCATTATGCTTCTAGTGTATGAATATGTTTTTGATTACCTTAAAAAAATTTTGTAGGTAAAAAAAAGTAAGCAAAAGTCTGTTGAATCACTTATGTTGAATATAACCAGATTTACAGAACAGGGTTTAACTAGCACAAAGTCCACTCTTGTGTTTAGAAGGTTCATATATGCTTTATTGGATTTTCTTTGTGACATTTTTTCTTTTTTGAAATTGAAATACTGTAAGTTAAGATTTGATACCGGTAATTGTTAAGCAATTTTTTTGTAATAATCATTATTTGTGAAGTGCTTTTTATTATTTTAAATTTAATAATTTCAGTCAATAAAACAGTTAAAATAACTTTTTTTGGTCAGGTTACTTAAAAAAGAAAGAATTTAATTTTAGCAAACCAATTTTCTATGCAAAAAAACAACAAAAGATAGCTTTTTTTTTGTATTGCGTAATTACTATTTATAGCAAATCCTGATGTTAAAATATTTTTGTATGTTGCACTACTGCAGTTCTTGATGCATTATTAAAAAAGCAATGTTTAAATCTTGCCTTGGGGGATTGGGTGCTATCATACTGCCATCTTTTTAGTTGTGGGATAAATGTACCAAACTGTCCAAGCACCTTTGGTCTTATTTTTTCCAGAGGTCTGCCTACATTTTATCTAGTCTATTTATAGAGCATCTTACCATTCTGTGCCAGATAAATTTATGTGTATAATTATATATTAAAACTGAGGTTCATGTTGAGAATGCCTTATTGACCAAGATAAACTTTTATATCTCCACTGTACCATACAAGTAATTTTAGAATGGGCTTTAACAGGATGAAACAGTAGCTGGGTTTTAATTAAAATTTTAATAGAAAATGTATATTTTTTTATTAGTTGAAAAAATGATTTACCATCATTTCAATATTGATGATTTTTTGGACAGGCATATTCCAACTTTTATTATTTCTATAAAATAAGTGGCCATTATAAAGTCTTTTATTTTTTGTTTGGTTTTTTTAATGTAGATGTAACCATTAATGTCATTAATTCACTGCAAATGATTTTATAGGTAGGCCTATGCGGTCTTTTAGTCTTCTTTGTGAAACATAATAGAGTTAGAAAAGCATGCTGTTTTGTATTTTGATGTAATAATTTAGTACCAATGTTTTTATAGGTAGGCATATGCTTATCTTTTAGTTTTCTTTCTGAGATTTAGAAAAGAATGCTGTTTTTTATTTAGCTGTAATAATTTAGGATCAATGTTTTTACAGGTCCTTTATGATGTCTTTTATTAAATAAGTAGTGCCATTTTTATGTTGTAAATCACAAAATGACATACTGCTTAGCAATATAAAAATTCTACTAGTGTAAAAATAAAAGAAACCATTTTTAAAAAAAATATTCTATTACATCTTAACTCTTAGTTGAATGTTTGTCTTTAGAAATAAAGCTAAATGGACTATGTGACTTATTCATTTTATAATTGTTTTTTACAATTTCCGATAATAAAACTGTTAAAATAATGTTAAATCCTACTTTTGAGACAGCTAGTATGACTTGTCTGTTTTTTAAAAGTATGATTATCTTACCCTGCATTGTTTGTGATAAAATGTTTGAAATATTTGCTCAATTACTTTTAGATGTGTGCTGGATTTATCTCATGTTAACTTTGATTTTGGATTGCGATGTATTGGATTGTTAGCCTGTGTACTTTTATTTAATCAGTGTTTTTACTGCATAATATATTTATTCTGAATTTTCTCTTATAATTTGGGTGAATACCTTAAGGCATTATTTTGGTGGAAAGAAGGGAGCTGGGGGCATTTCTTCAAAGAATAATCGGTTTTTATTTTAAGCTGTTCTGTTCACATCGTTATGTGTTCTCTTCCCAAGTTTTAGACATGTTTTTATTTAAGTTTAAGTGAAAATGGCATTACACTCATAAAACTATTTTAGTTGTTTTTTTAACTTTACACTAAAATTCTACAGGTAAATTGCATAAATGTATCCAATAATGATAATTTTATTTGTTGCACTGGGCTAATTAGTAAACTGATAATATATTTTTATCATGTATTTTATGAACATGTATATATTTGTTTTAATTGGGAGATAAATTACCTAATAAAATACTTGATCTTTCATTGACTTTGTTTTTTTTCCTCTCAATTTTAAAAAAATAAAGTAACATGTATGAGGTTATTTCTACATTGACTAGCTACTCAGATTTTTTTTTTCTGATCAAGATAAGCTCATGTTTGCAATGAGACTTACAGATTGTTAAACACACCGATGTCGTTGATAGTTTTCTAAGATTCTAACCTAAGGTTAATTAGAGAAGCTGGCCCAATTAAGATTTAGGTCATCAGAAATTGTATGTCAACTGAGCACATTACACAACACATAATAGACAAAAGCTTGACCAATGCTTTTCTCTTATATTGACCACGCTATCCCATTATGTGTCAAGGTCACAGAAGCAGTTGGACTATAGCTCATCTGCTATATTGACCCCCAGGTCAAAAAGGATAACTTTTTTCCTCCTCTTATGTACAACATAAATTGATATTTATAGTTTAATAAAAAAGAAACAACTTCTAATGAAGTATAGGCTTATATTATTGTAGGGAGTTGGAGTCAAATTAGCACACCGGTTTTAAAAAATTGGTGAATTTTCTATCAGCCAAATTTTGAAATTTTGGGGCTGACTTGGTATGTCTCAGCTGTATATTCCTGTATAAGATGGTTCTTGCAAAAAGATCAGGGAGAAGAAAGACAAGGAGCTAAACAACTTTGAGGTAACTACTTATACCACATACACTTATACACCATTATATCCACAAAATAAAAGTGTGTGTGGTGTATGAATGAATGTGCATCATTTTTGTACAATAGAACATGTGCCTTGGCTTCAGAGTTTCTTCCAGGCATCTCTTCGGGGGGGCTTTGCCCCCCCGAAAAGTTTTTACCGCCCCCCCCCCCGAACGAAATGAAATTTATATAATTTATATAGAAAATATATACTTTTAACAGTGTCCGCCCCCCCGAAGAAAGTTTACCGCCCCCCCGAAGATTTCAAGTGCCCCCCCCCCGGAGAAAAAAGTCTGGAAGAAACACTGCTTGGCTTCCTATGTTTATCTCTATGTGCTTGATCAATCACAAGGCTGTTTGATTAAAACTTTATTTACCATTTTTAGTGTTTTGAAAATTTGACTTGCAAGAAGCAGTTTTTTTGTATAATGAATATTATAGACTAATCGGTATTTGCGGTTAATAAGGTAGGAATAATTAATTTAAATTAGTTTTTAAAAATTGATAAAGTTCGAATTTTATTTTCCACTACGCAGCCTGACATCCGACGTCGCCTAACCAATCATAAAGCTAAATATTTTGCAGAAGACCTAGGCCTATGCATTGATAAACACAATAAAAAAGAGCTGTTGATATAAGATACCGACCTGCATGAAGACGATACTCAATCTAATCTGTTACATAGATCAGATCTACTGCATTATTATTATTTAATCTTGATTAGTTAAATCCCGCAATCATGGCAGAGCAGTCACGCAATTCTTGGATTAGCAAAGGTTCGAAAGACCGGTTTTATTTTTTTACTTTATTTTATTTCAGTTCAGTCTCAGTCTGAGTTCAGCAATCAGCCGGCTTAGTAATTAATAAATTATTTAGTAATTCTAAGTTATTAAGTAATTGGTAGGCCTAATCTTAATGATATGATTACCACTGAAATAGATCGATCTAGATCTACATTTTTATTAGTCTAACTTAAAAAAATATATAGAATATAGTATAGTCTAAGTATAGGCCTAAAGTTCACTGGACAATACAGATTACAGTGCATTGCATCAACTACAATACTTTTTCTCCATACATTTTAATTAGGCCTAATCTCTTTTGCTTATTTTTGCATAGAATATTAAGATAACAATATAATGAATATATTAACTTGTTATACCAGTCTTTGCTATGGTGAAAAAAAAGGCGCAATGTCCACCCCGATTTCCCTCCTCCCCCAACCTGTGAATACATGTTGTAATTTAAATCGACACCAAACAACATTTTCTTCCCGGGTGTCTACGCCCAGGCCCAGAGAGAGCCCTTCCCATGCACAACCACATTCTCCAGCTTTCAAAACAAAGACAAAGTGGCTATACCGATGGTGGCTTATATTAGATTTTAATGCTTAGGCCTATTTGATTTAATATTTAAATTATTATTAAGTATTAAGGCATTAATAATAAATTTTAGGCTTAAAAATTTAATAATCGTTCTTCATTGTAAATCCAACATTGACTAATCCAAGTTTGAGTATATCACTGATAAAGAATCAGTTTTTTCCCTGTATTTGGCATAACAGGAAATTACCCACTTGCACCAATTTATAAAACTATGCCACTCTGCATTTTTGCTTAAGAAGAAAACCTAGCTACTTTACACTAACAAATTGGTTTGGGTTTGGTGTATGCCTACATGTTGAAATTACAGAATATGGATCAAAACTTGCATATACGGCAAATGTTATAGTTTGTTTTGTTTGAATTATATTCAGGTTTAATAAAAATTTCATCAGACTTTTTTCTTGTAGAAATTCAATCTCTGCTTTATAAATATTTTAAAATGTTTAGTGTTTCTTAGGCTATATGTATATATAATTATAATCTAATACAAATATATATATACACACACAGTTCTGTGAATTCAAATTAGTTTAATTCTTACGTCATCACACCCAACTTAAAACCTAAGGAAACATTTGAAAATACTTTGGCAATTGTCTGGAGTTTCTGCTGTTACGTTTTAAATATTTAAGCAACAAGAACAATACTTTAGTATGGTTTGGACAAGAATAAAGTTAATTCTCAAATGGCAACCAGGAGGTGCATGACTTGAGGCCTTTAAGTTTGAAGACTTTTCTTTATGAACTGTTGGTCTATATATATGCCGTGTTGCAAATGCTGAAAAACTCAAAGCAGTTGTTTTGTAAAATATGTGGTTGGAGAATTTCCAAGTGTGGGGTTAAACAATGGAATAGTAAGTTCTGTGTGGCTCTAAAAGTTTTTTGTACTCTTGTATTTGGTTTCTGATTTCAATAGCTAGTATTTTCATATTTTATGTTACAACAAATAGAATTTGCAATAATTCCACCTAAATTTTTTTTACTAGATCTAACAGTTTGTTACATGTGTTTTGAATCACTGATCAGCATATGAAAAAATTGCTTAGTGTATACATTTTTAATATTCAATTATAATATTATGTAATTTGCATAAAAAATGTGCTTATACTTGTATTACATTTTCTAATCAAGAAAGAGAGATAATTAAACAGAGAACTGATTGTGCATGCTTTTTTCACTAACAGTTTAACTTTAACCTTGCATATAAATATTCAACCATGGCTTTAAAGGAATTATTTCTAAACAAAAATATATAACTAGTTTCTAAAACTATTTAGAGAAAAATAATCTCGAAATAGGTTTTGATTTAGTTTGTTTGAGCAATGAAATTCATATATTAAATGAGGACAGTACCCTAAAATACATTTATATGGTCATTTTTGAGAACAGAATAAAGTGAAAACAGCTTCTACAGCAATTTATTTCTGAAAAACAAGTCTCTCAAACATCTCATCTATGTTAGTAACAGCTGTATTTAACTTTAAATTATTTAACTTGTCTTTTAAAAGTAGCTGAGTGGTATAGGCCCCCTTGGTATTTTGTAAGAAGTTAACAGCAATACTGTTATTACTCAGGGGTGAATTTCTAAATAGTTTTAATTTTTAAGACTGATTTAAATATCAAAAACAGTCATTGGTGCAAAGTGACTCAAACTATTACATCTGGAGGGTCACATTTGTTGCAGATCATTGATGGAAATTTAACAATGTTTTTGATGTTATTAACAAAACTCATTTCATTTTTTGTTGTAGCATGTTATTTATTTTGAAGCATCCTTAAGTTTCATAGGGTAGCAAGTAACACATCTTATTGACTTTTAATTAACATCTGATTGCTTTTTTAATGTTAACCTTTTTTAAATTATAATTTTTACATGTTTACAATAATGTTATTCTTTGTGTGTTTTGTTTTTATATCCACTAAAATAAAAGCTGTTCTTTGATAACTAAATTTTCACAGATGACCCAAAGTTAGTTTCTGCCAAACAAAAAGACATGTTTGAAGACATCTTGGAGGAGAGGAGGTTAAACAGTGACCTGAGGTACTGCTGCAAGACCAGGGATGAGCCGCAGTTCAAGCTGAACAAGCCCAGGACACCAGCGCAGCTGAAAGAGCATGTCATGGCCAGTGACAGGGTGCAGTACGCCATTGAACAGGTCAGCTGGATGCTGTGGCTACTTGCAGAACTCGTTTAGGCAGGGGGGGGGGGATTGATATTGTGTAAACTTTCAGTATTTATCAAAAGGTGGGGGGGGGGGGGGGGGGAAGAGAAAGTTAGAATTGTGTTAGATTACTTATACTACTCATGTAGGTAAATTTAGGTGGAAGGAAAGGTTATGATTTGTATTTGATAACTTTGTTTAAGGGGTGGGAGTGTGAAGTTTGATGTTATGATCACTTACATTACTTACGTAGGTGGGGGACCAGGAAGGATTGAAAGTTGATGATGTATTTGCTTATAGGTACTCATTTAAGTGTATGGGAGGGTTGCAAAGGTTTATGTTCTATTCAATTAAAGCACACATTTACATAGATATTGTAGCTAATAGTATTGTTTTATTAAAATACTTTCCTAATTTTACTAATTTGCCTTTGTATCTATAATGGACATTTTTCATTATTAAATATTGCTTGTTATTTCTGGATAGGCTTGCCTGGAAACAAAATTACCAAAAAGTGAGATTACAGCAGAGGCGGCCAAAATTCTGGATGAAATGGCCCACAACCAGCGCATGGGGGCCATCAGAAGTTTTGCGTACGCTCTGGTTAAAGTTTTCAAATCACTTTATCAAAGAATATATGTTAACGTGGATGGCATTCAAAAGGTAGGATCTTACTACCATAACTATTGCTTATTATTCATACACAACTGTTTTAGCTAATTTAGTTTGCAGTTTTGTTTTTTTAGCTGCACTAACTTCTAAATTACTTAAATTTTGAAATGGTGATATTTGGCTTGTTATATTTAAGTTGTATTTGTTATGTGATGACTTTATAAAATTGTCAACATTAATTTAAATGTTAAACTATAATTCACCTAAAATATTTGCAAAAGTTTGATGCAGCATTTCTGTATTACACTAACAATTTGCCACACATGTTGTCTCAGGTGAGAGGTATGGTGAAGGAGTATCCCATTTTGTTGATGCCATCCCACAGAAGCTACATGGACTTCCTGCTGATGTCTTATGTGTTTTATCATTACGATCTACCCCTGCCTGTCATAGCCGCAGCCATGGGTAGGATATTTTTTCTTTACCCGTAGTTAATTAAACATTTTATGAAGTAAACTTAATTTATTTTGATTGTTAAAAAACTATAAAATAAAATTGAAAAAAAATAGATACTATTATAAATATATTAACTCTTTGTTTTATGATTTTTTTATATTGATTTCTTGCCCTAAATAAGTGTCCTCTTGTTTTGTTTTAGATTTTTTGGGCACGCAGTTTGTTGGCTGGCTTTTAAGAAATGTATTAACTCTTTGTCTTCCAATTTTTTTTCATTGATTTCTCACCCTAAATAAGTGTGTTATTGTTTTGTTATAGATTTTTTGGGTATGCAGTTTGTTGGCTGGCTTTTAAGAAATGTATTAACTCTTTGTCTTACATTTTTTTTCCATTGATTTCTCACCCTAAATAAGTTTCTTGTTTTGTTATAGATTTTTTGGGCGTGCAGTTTGTTGGCTGGCTTTTAAGAAATATATTAACTCTTTGTCTTCCAATTTTTTTTCTTTGATTTCTCACCCTAAATAAGTATCTTGTTTTGTTTTAGATTTTCTGGGCATGCAGTTTGTTGGCTGGCTATTGAGAAATTCCGGGGCTTTTTACATCCGACGCAGCTTTGGTGATGATCATCTGTACTGGGCTGTGTTCACGGAGTATGTTCAGACCCAGATCTGCAATGGGGATTCCCCGATTGAGTTTTATGTTGAAGGGACCAGGAGCAGAACTTCCAAGTCTTACACCCCTAAATTTGGTAGGTGGCTGCATCTATTCACTTTTTGAGCATAACTTCCAAGTCTTACACCCCTAAATTTGGTAGGTGCTTGCATCTATTCACTTTTTGAGCATAACCTCCAAGTCTTACACCCCTAAATTTGGTAGGTGGCTGCAGTTATTCTTTTTTTGCTTGCACAGCTTAAAATTTTCAAATGAGACAGTATTGCCGAAACCCCATTCATTTTAATGATTTGATAAGAAATGTTCATTCACTTCTTAATGTAATATTGTGAACAGATTTAGGAATGCAATTTTGATGTGTTTTTTACCTTATTTTATTTAGCTGAAAAAAAATTGCAGTAAAAATAAAGGGATTTTCAACGTTAAACCTGATGATCTAAAGAGGCAGATGTGACTAAATTTAGAGATTTTGTAGTCAGCACTATGATAAGCCACCTTCACTGTTCCCCCAAATCAAGTCTGATACCCATCACTTTAGAAACTTGAGGGGTCTGCATAGGGGTCATCCATAAATGACGTCACGCTTTTTTTGACGATTTTTACCTCCCCCCCTCCCCTCCGTCACATTTCGTCACAAAAAGCCAGACCCCCCCCCCCTAAAATGACGTCACACCTCAACCTACAACCCCCCTCAAAATTGCAGTTGAATTTTTTTTAAACATTGATATTTTTCCAAAATCTTGTCTAAACTATTACAATTTATTAAAACAGTTATCTAAAACGCGAAATAACGTCTAAAATTCGTTTTCTAACATTGCTTTTTTATAATGCAAAAATGTGATGTCCCAACATCTAACCCCCCCCCTCCCCCTCATCACACATCGTCACAAAATTACGGACCCCCCCTCCCCCCTACGAGTGTGACGTCATTTATGGATGACCCCATAGTCACTGTTTCTAAACCCAAAAGTCCAGAGTTTGAACCCCTGGCCAGGCTTGATAGCTTGGGACAACAACCCATCTAGGAGAGACAACTCCAGAATCAAACAACTGCTGCCTTGTAGTTCATCCCTTGTTGGACAAAGTCTATGATAGCAAATCCAAAAAGAAAAGCAGGCTTAAATTGGATTCAACTGCCTGTATGGCGCATAACAAGTTGACACGTGATACTTACTTGTGTTGGAGGAAATGCTACAATTGAGAACAAAGGAGAAAAGATTGAAATTGGGAACACCACGAGTTTTTGAAACTACCTCGCATGCACTAATCAGTCACATGATGTTTATATATCTAATACAACTATAAATGTTTAATTGTTAGTAACGTCAATAAATATATATATTTTAAAAGTGCATGCTGTTCCAGGTATGCTGTCTGCTGCACTAGAGCCCTACTTCAAGTCCCATGTGCCAGATGTCATGGTGGTGCCAGTCAGCATCAGCTATGACAGGATTCTGGAGGAGAGTCTCTACGCTTACGAACTGTTGGGAGTCCCTAAGCCAAGGGAGTCTACCTCAGTAAGCAAAGGTTACTTTAAGCCCAAAACAAATAGTATATGCAGCTTTGATATTTGGCCTGTAGCGGCAGCTAACTAAAACCTATTTTGCCAATAATAATATGTAATTTAAACCTATTTTGTCAATACTTTTATTTATTTTGCGATAACTTTTGTTAAGAAAGAACATTATTTTACCAAATTTGGGCCTTCCACAAAATGAAAACATTCATTTTTAGATGTTACACTGTTGTATTAAGTTTAAGATAAATTTGTGTTTGGTTGATTTGAAGTAAAAATTTTTTTGTTTCAGGGTTTGTTAAAAGCTAGAAAAATACTTGAAGAAGACTTTGGAAACATTCATATTTATTTTGGTGAGCCCATCTCCATCAGGAAATATTCCGAGGGTTTGGTGGATCGCAGTCTTCACAACCTGGCACCCAGGTTAGTTCATGAGCTAAGATTCTTGTCGCATCATTTTAAAAGTAAATTATAAAATCTGTTCCAGGTTGACCAGAAAAAAAAAGTAAGTTATCGTTTTGAATCTGGTGATACATGGGGCAGGCAAAGTAGAGTTCACCTGTTTTGGTGACCTTAGCATATCAAGGGATAGTGTGGTCATCACTATGCCCAGCCGACACAGTGGCGTAGCTACCGTAAAGCTAGCGTAAGCAAGGCATAAGGGCCCAAGGCAAATAGTGGCCCTTTTTCGAAAGTTTGAGGGGGGGTGTGCAAATCGAAAGTTTGTCCCCGTTGCCGGGAAGGGCCGCTGCACCTTTGAGGGGCCCACTAACACTTTTTGCATAGGGCCTCAAAAATCCTAGCTACGCCACTGAGCCGACATTGCTTTTCCTAACATAATTCAAGTACCCATTGGAGCTGGGTAAACTCAGGGACATGAACTCTGGACGAACTCAAGATTTTTGGATTAGCAATCGTATGCTCTACCATCCGACCATGCCTTCCTACAGGTTGACCAGAAATTGGATATAATTGAATTTGAATGTTCCAAATATAGTGCCCAGAGTCTAGATACAATTAAATTTGAATTTGTTGCAGATATATTGCTCAGAGCTTACCAATGATTTTGAATTTATTGCAGATATATTGCCAGTTTGACAAACCAAGAGCAAGATTTAATCAAAAAGCTCGGCCACCACATGGTGCTGACACATCAGAAGCACATGGTTGTGTCCCCTTGGTCCATGATGGCGGCCGTGCTCATGCAGTCCCAGGGTGGGATCTCCCTCCGTCAGCTGGCCAAGGAGGTGGAGTGGGTCAAACGCCAGGCCTCCAACATGGGGGCTTACATTGATTGGCCAGGTAAGCACAGACAACAATACACAAAGCAAGCAGCTTAAATATATTTGACTTTTTTTCTTATGTTCTTCTTGTTTGTTAATAATTCTAGTGTTGGAATGTATTCCCCCCAACACAGTTAAGTATTGCGTGTCAACTTGTTATGCACTATGTAGGTCTTTTACTACTATTTCAGCCTGCTTCTCTTTTTGGATTTGCTTCTATAGCCTTTATCCATCTAAGAACAAACTACAAGGCAGCAGTTGCTTGATTTTGGAGTTGTCACTCCTAGATAGGTTCCTATCCCCAGCTACTGTTCAGCAACCATGAGCTTAACCAACCTGACTATGCGAACCTCCAACTTTTTTTTTTTATTATAATAACAACCAGGTAATTAAGAAAAAATAATTTATTTCAGCTTCTGAATCTGCTGAGTCAGTATTGAGGGCTAACATAAAACTGCATGAAAACATAGTGCGGGTCACAGAAGACGATGTGGTGGAGCTGGTGAGGGTTGCACCCCCCTCACATGCCAAGGCTACTGATACCCTCATGATCACAGGTTGGTGGAGATTCACATTTTGGTGGGGATTCACATTTTGGTGGGGATTCACATTTTTTGGTAGTTTGGGCTAAGATAGCTTTGATGTTATCTTTAATTTTTTATATTCACGTGAATTAAATTAATTTAATTTCCAAAAAGTTTGCTAGAACAAAATGTGAATTCACATTACTAATTTTGACAGCAACTGTGTGGAGTTTCCATTCATTTTTAATTGTATTTACAAGTTATCAGATTATTAAAGATAGAGCTAGAAAATCATTGTCTATGGTTATTTCAAACTATTGAATTTAACTACTTTTCTGTTGTGTGTTAATGTAAAAATCAGTAGCTTCATAGACCTTAGTAGGTTGAAATGGTAGAGTTAAACAGCCTGTATCACATAGACACTTAAATAGACAGCACTATGCCCATGAACTTTCCCTGACTTAATTCAGATACCCATTAGAGCTGATTGGACTCAATGAATTCATACTAAACCAAGCCAGGATCTTGAGCAAGCAAACCTGTAACTTAAGGGTTAACAATCATGTGTTCAACTACTCAACCAACCCCCCTGTTTATGAACATGCTTAGATTACAAACACCTGAACCATTTATTACATTTTTTTTCCTTGCAGCTGGCCAGCATTTGATGTTGTCGTTGTATAGAAACCATATCCTTCATGTGTTTGTGAGGCCAGCAATGATTGCCATCTCTGTCAATACATGCAGTGAAGAAAAACTTTCTATTGGTATGTATGGTGCCATTGTTTTGGTTAAGGTTCCTGTTGTGGTAGTGGTTAGGGAGTTTTGTTATGCTGGCATTAATGTGACCAGGATTTGGGTGTGACATTGAATTGTTCATGATATGGGTTTGTGGTTATTAACCTAGCCACAATTAGGGTATGGCAAGAACTTTGGCATGTTGTCATTAAGATGGTCAGGATTGGGGTATGATGTCATTAATGTGACAAGAATGAGGGTATGTTGTCGTTAAGTTAACCAGGATTTGGGTATGTTGTCATTAAGATGGTCAGGATTGGGGCATGATGTCATTAATGTGACAAGAATTAGGGTATGTTGGTCATGATTTGGGTATTTTGTCATTAAAATGGCTGGGATTGAAGTATGTATTAACAGTTTTATTGACCAATCTGTTGGTTCCTTGTAAGTAATGTGTATAACATTTAAAAATGTTCTTCCTCATGCAGGTGAGCTTTACAACAAATACAGTTTCCTAGAGCAGCTGTTGTGTAAAGATTTTGTTTTTCTACCAGGTTCAACTAAAGTGGTGAGTTGTTGTATTCCCTGCTTATGTTTTGTGTGGTTCCTATTCATGGCTTCTTGGATTTTTTTTTTTAAATTGATATTTTAAATTATAAGTTTCAAGCTTTGTGTTTAAACTTTTCCCAGGACTTTGAACTTTCACTTCGTACACTAACCCACACAAGTGGGGTGGTGATGGAGGGGGAGGAGATCATCATCAGCAAGTCAACCAACAAGTTGACAACCTTCTACAGTCAGATGTTTGAGCCTTTTCTGCTGGGTTACTGGGTGAGTTAGTTCCCTTTTTCATTCATTTTTACTGGGTGAGTTAGTTCCCTTTTAGTCATTTTTGTTAGGTTTTGGGAGAGTTTCCCTTTACACAGCATAACAGGACTAGTACCTTGGGTAAAGGCGGACCCAAAAAAAAAATTCCTATGGCTTTTTTCTTGGACATTTTTTAAATTTGTTTTTTATTCGTTCAATTAATTTTTAAAGAAAGGCTTTAGTTTTTTATTGCTTTTATTTTTTTTTGCTTCATTTGTGAATATAGTGTTCTTGTCAAAGTTGACTTTAATTCACTGCTTATGTTTTTAAAATCTGTCTTTTAAAATGGTAAATATTTATTCATGGTTAGCCAGCAAGCAATGTCTCTAGTGTCAAACATTTTTTTCTCTCTATCAGATAATGTGCCAGTATCTGCTGTCAAATCACCCCAACATTCATGGTTAGCCAGCAAGCAATGTCTCTAGTGTCAAACATTTTTTTCTCTCTATCAGATAATGTGCCAGTATCTGCTGTCCAATCACCCCAACATCGCTGGCAAACCTCTAGCCAAGACACAGAAAATGCTGGTGAAGGAGGCCCAGATGTTGACAGCACGTCTGCTGCAGGAAGGGGTTGTCAAACACTACGAGATTCTCTCCCTGGACATGATGAACAACGGCCTCCATGCTCTGTTCCACATGGGTGGCATCAGTAAGGAGAGAAGGGATGGGGCGATCTACATGTACCCCAACACTCGCCAGCTGTCAAATATCACAGAACAGTTAGGTAAGTTGTCAGCCATTTTTTTTAAAGAGTTGATCTTGATTATTTCTAACATTTCTAACTTTTACTGCTGGGTTACTTGGTGAGTTAGCTTCTTGTTGTATAGTGATTTCCTTTTTTTTTTTTTGTATTGCTAGGTAATAAAAAAATAAAAATACTTGTTACTTGTTTAAGCCCACATAATGCTCTAAAACTGGTTTTTTGGAAGTACCGAACCCCAAGTTTCATATGCGCATTCACCGAACCCATCTTAGTAGTTCTATTATCCGCACTGACAAAATCCATTGGTGAATTTTATGAGTTGGCTATGTGTTGTGACCTCCTCCAAGCCTCTAAGACTGACTCAGCCAAACCTCTGGTGTTTGATCAAACTCAGGTTCAGGGGATGTGACTTTTCCGAATTTTAGCGGAAATCCGATTTTTCCGTTTCAGTTGCAATTTTCCTCCGCTGATTTAATTTTCGCCGAATTTTTCCGCCGAGTTTCAATTTTTTTAATTTTTTTACGAAGTTTTAAAAATTAGAAAAAAAAACGGAAATGTCTTCTACGTATTCTATGTATTTAAATTTAAATTGACAACTAACTACTGTACTTAAGTCAAACGGACACTCGAATATGCGCATTTCTTTTCGATTGGTCGATTGCGCTAGGTCTGACGGTGCTAGATCAAGATTAAATGTAGATTCGGAATTTCGGCGGACTTTCGAATTTTTCAAAGCACACTTTTTTTAGTCCAAATTTTCCACTGATATTTTCAGTTAACTATTTATCAAAAACACGGGAAAAATGTAATCTAAAATAATGCAGTTATTCAAATGAAACTTACATCTCTTAAGCCTGGTAATCTAGCTATCGATATAGCCTAATTTACCTATCGGTATTTTAACCCGCCTAAATATAGAGTTTCTCTCTGATTCTATTTTATTTCGCAATCTCAAATTAATATTGAAATCCTTGCAAAAGGTGACTATGAGGACTAGACTAACCCGCCCCTCCTTGTAGCAACGGTGGCTCTTGTGACCTCGCCTTGACCGCAAGTACGTGTTCGGTACTGCTTGTGGAAAAAAATGACGTCACAGTCAATTTCAAATAGCTGTTCTTGCAATACGTATGCTTCGTAGGCCTACAGATTAAAAAACAAACTTAACGTGACTACGACCGTGTCTTGTTTGTGGAAGAAAAAATACGTTCAGACTGTGGGGGGGGGGGGGGGGGGGCTTCATTAGGAGAGAGAGGAGGTAAATATCGTCAAAAAAAAAACGTGGATGACCCCTAACAATTTACAGCTATTCCAAAAAAAAAACATAAATATCGATGTGGCTTGGTTATCAAAATGATTAACTTTGGTTCACACGTCATACCCTTTCTAATTTTAGCTAACCTGGTCCATTTCATTATTCCATCACATGAACCTAAAACTTTCAAATTGTAACTAATCTTAATCTCAGGTCTTTACAGTTGAAGACAAATATTTTTACCAATCCAATCTTTAAAAATTGAAAACACTAGTACATCTAGAATCTACACTAGATTAGTACAGTTTAAATTAGCTTAATGATAAAATATAACTTAATTGCTACTTTTGTTACATTGTAATTTTTAAAAAGTTGTTTATAAGGTAAAAATTAAATTGCAATTAGACAAGACTTTCAATGTTATTTTAGAGTAACATAAACTTCTTGTATTTAAAATATTAACTTCATTAAACAATTAATTAGTACAGTAACAGTATGAAGCTGCTTAACCGCGATAAAAAATAGATAAAACATTATTATCCAAAGAAAATTTCCTAATTTTTTTTCCTGGTCTGGTCACATCCCTGCAGGATATGAACCACTGCTCTCAAATATTTTTTATTTATTTGGTGCTTGTTAAATTTTACTGGTTGTAGAATGTTTTGTTCAAATGTGAACATTTTTTTTATCTGTTTCAGCCAAATTTATTGATGTGCCACCATTGCCTGCAGTTAGCATTAATCTTCATTCAAAGACAGTCACAGTTAATGCTAAGTTGTAAATCAAAAAGAAAGAACCCAACATTTGTTAAAGCCAGAGCTACAGTTTCTGTATTCTTTGGATGTATTATCTTCTGTGTCAGAGGACTGGACTTTATTTTATTTGAAGTAAAAACTAAAATATAAACAATGAGCTGTTTATCTAAACAAAGACTGCTCAAGGTTCAATTGTTGATATTTTGCTTAATCAGCCATATTTTAAAAAAAATCATTAGATTTATAAAGCCACATTTCACAGATCATTAAAGATGAAAAATCAGTTTAATTTTGAAAAAAGATTTTTCTTTTTTCAGGGTAACCCTTGTTTTTAAACAGAATTCAGTATTAAATTATCCACAGTGTGAATTGTGTTTAGGGAGTGTTCATTAGTTAACATGGACAGAGTATACACAGTGTTAATTTTGTGTAGGGAGTGTTCATTGGTTAACATGGACTTGAATATGGCCCTGTAAAAAAACTCTGTACAAACTTGTGATTGGCTGTGATAATGCTGTATGTGTTGAATGAATCTTTCACTGGATGTTTTACAAATGGTCAAGCTAAAAAATGTTTTATTTCATGAGCAATATGTTTTGTAGAATACATTGAATAAAGAAATATTTATGTATGTAGGAAAGTTTTGTTATTTTTCAAACACATAACTTTAACGCTAAATAAATAATTTATATTAATAGAATTTGGGTGACACTTTTAAAATAATTGAAAATGACCAGGTTTCATAAGAGTTCTCTTCATATAATGTTAATGGCTTTTAAAAAAAAATATTCATGCTAAAAAAAATGACAACACAGTAATTTTCTTTTTCAACATAGACACAAGTCAAATACCTCATTTATTTATACCACTGTACAGTACAAGATGACATTTTGAAGTTCAGCTCACCAATTTAATATCATTCTAAATAACAAGACATAATGAAGGAAGAAAAAAAAAACATTGCAGCAAAAGTTAATTAGTTGACATTTGTTTAATTAGTTGACATTTGTTTAAAGAAAGGGTTTGTTGAAGGGGTAAGATAATGATATAAAATGGGGGTGGGGGCGTTATTGAGATATCTGGCCCAACATTACCCTATAAATCATGTAATTAGTATCAATAACCCTATTGACGTCTTAAAAGTAAAGAGAAATTAAATTTTTATATGATGTAAACAATCCTCCATATTGGTATCTAATCTGTTTGTTGACTGAATGTTTTTTTTTAGAACAAACATTCTTCATAATATTTAAATATCTGAAGATCTCATGACATATTTAAAATAAACTTTCTTCTTAATAAGTGAAACTCACAAAGGCATACTGAACTATAAATTATGCATGCAAAAAAAAAAATGTGAATATATATTTTTGTTGCTACTTACTGCCGCCTACAATTTAAAAAAAGATTTAACACATTATCTGCAATTATTATTTTATTTTATATCTAAGCAACTGCCTTGCAGTAAACTTGGTTTATAGAGGGTTAAACTGTGGCAATTTTTTAATATATTTAAAGAAATATAAAATGTACACTTCCATTAGGATGCCAAATATTTTAAAGTACGCCATATTTCTATATTCTATAACCATTTGCGTGTAAGAATGGAAGAATCAAATTGATGAAATGTATAGAGTATAAGCATTTCATTTAGTACTGAACTATGTTTTATAGTGGGTGCTACCATAGTCATTTGAATGAAAAAACTTAACAAATAAATTATGTTTTGATTATCTGAAAACAGTTTAAACAACAGTCAATCTTTTGATACTTTTAAAATGGGAAATTGCATAGGCAAAAATAGCAACAACCACTCTGCTCTCTTGCAGGCAATAACCAAGAAAAAGAAAAGACACTATTATCAAATATCAATCTAAACTTTCATTTAAAATTTTAGAATAATCTCCCTTACAAAATGAAGTTTTAAAAAATATTTAAAAAAAAAACTTAACAAATCTTTTTCTTAATCTCATTGTTTAAACCTGAGTTTGCTTTGTCCAATTTAGTATGTCACTAATGTCATACTAAATTATTTCTGTTGAAAGATGTCAGTTTTCTATGTCAATTGTTGCTAGTTATTATATAAAAAGGATAAAATGTCAACAAAATGAAAAAAAAAATGACAGAAAGCCTACCTCTTAAAGTAAATTTCACAGTGTGTAGTATTATATCAATTTATATTTTATTTTCTTGGAGCATTAAAAAAAAATTCAACACTGACAAAACAAAGTCTAAGAAAACAAATTTCAATTACAAACCAAACAAATACTTTTTTGACTAAATTATTTTTAAAAAGTCAACACATAAAAAATTTAACTGACAAAAACTTAAATATTATTGTGTAGAAAATATATTTTTGAACTTGGCAATATATATTTTTTGCATGCAAAAAATCACGAACTAATTTCAGCAACAGCATACATGAAAATAATTAACTGCAACACTGATAACCCCATAATGGTTCTGGAAACTTCAGCAAAGATTCCAGAAGAAGCAAAGCCTGCAGTAAATAATTTGCGATAATTTCAAAATGTAAATAAAAATCCCTCAAACAAGGCCAACATAATATTATATGTGCATGTTTTTTGTCTCAATTCACAATAACATACAGAAATTGTTGAATATAAACTTTTGTTTAACAAAAATAAAATAAAATGAATGAGAGTACCGGGAAAAAAAGAATTTAAAAAAAAAAAGAGTTCTAGTCTTTGAGTAATTTCAACACTGAAGTATTTGATTATATGTAAAAGTAGCACTCAACTAGGTGAAAATTTTGTTTTTCAAGTAGAAGAAAAACAAAAATGAATCATTACGTAAAAATATCAACAGAATATCTAGTAATGAGGTATTGTTCGGCTGCTTTTATTGCTGCAAATAGTTTTCCCAACATTTTTAAAATGGACTAATTAAATATATTACAGCACACAGAACAAAAGTATAATTTTTGTTTTAACTGATGTCTATTGTAACCTGAATCTAATTTCATTAATTATTGCTCAGATTAAACCTTCACGGTTAAAAATGTAGTTACAGTAGAAATCTTTATAGAGTAAAGAAGTTTTTCGCCTCTCCTAACAAAATGTAAAAAAGAAGCCTGAAATATAATTGAGAGTAAAATGCATTTTTAACTGAACAACTTTAAAGTTACCTTTGTTGCAGATTTACATCAAAGTGGCAAGAAGCATGGTCAGTATTTGAAGACGTGGATTGACAAGAAGAAACCTAAAATTCAAACACTGACAAAATATGTTGTCTAGCAGGGCTCAATATAATTTAAAAATTGTTTTAATTAAAAAAAAATTAATTCAAAATTAACACTGAGGTATCCTTGGAAAATTCCAGAAGACCGTTGAGCATAGAGGAAATAAAAATTAAACTGCGACGTCAAAGTAAGTGTTCTACTTAGACTTACATGACAATTTCACCAGTAGTCTTATTGATCCTCTAATGCAGGAGTCTCCAAACTTTTCAGCCCGAGGGGTGCATTGACTATCAAATATCAATTAGGGGGCCAGTTTCTTCTAGGCATCTCTTTGGGGTGGTGAAGCCCCCCCCCACCCCCCCCCCCCCCGCAAGAAATATAATTTATATAGAAATATATAAAAATTTCAAGTGCCCACTCCATGAAAAAAAATCTGAGATAAACATTCTGGGGGCCGACAAAAAAGAGAAAAGAATCTCCGCGGGCCGGGTGAGAGGACCTCGCGTGCCGCATCCGGCCCGCAGTTTGGAGACCCCTGCTCTAATGTTACAATAAATTACCAGCAACAACAGCCTATACCAGAATACCCCAGTTATAGTACGTACATATCTGGTCGAATATAAAGTTCTCGTTTAAATTAATTAGGTGGATCCAAACTTTGAAAAAAAAAAGTGTTAGATTGAAATACTGATTAAGAAAATCTTTTATAAAAAGATATAAATGTATAAATAGATGGCTTAATGGCTTCACAATGCTAGTTATTTACAAAATTAGAATTTAAAAAAAAAAAAGATATATTTAATTTAATAGCAATGAGATAAAAATTTCAAATAGTAAATAGAAGATTTAGACTAGATCTATTTAAAAATGGCTTAAACCATTCATTTTGTGTGTAGGACCTAATATAAATATTCTATAATAATTAATATATATAACAAAAATTTACAATCAAACTAAATAACATGAATGGTTAAGTCAAGAATATCTTTAATACTAAATAAGAGCCTAGAAACAATCTATTATAACACTAAAACCTGTTATAACTATACAACAAAGCTTGTTTGAATAGACTTTAACAATGGAATTTTTTTGGAATGATAGCTATTAAAACATTTTTTTAATCATAAAATGTGTTAAAGAGGATAAAAATCACAAATAAATAATTTTTTTTTTTTTTTACAAGAACTGAAAATACAGTTATAAAATATTTAAGCAAAAATTAAATTTTTTTGATTGCTGATATAAACAAAAAAAAAAGGTTTTGGGTAACCTTAATGACAGCAAGATTTTTTTTTAGACTAATGTATGGCCATGTTATTGTTAGTTCAGGCCCTTTACTGCTAATTTCAAGGGTCATAACTCATAATGACCATGACCTTCAATAAACTGCAATGGGGATGTTAGTTTCATTAAAAAAAAAAAAGTAAAGTATAAGAGACTACCAGGGGTCATAACTCATAGAGACCACTATCTTAACACACAAAGGCATGTACACTAGCCCTGATGGTATAAAACAGCCGTTTAAAAAAAAATTCTGTTTTAAAAAGATATCCAACAAATTAGCAGAATTCAAAGCTAATGAATTCAATTATGCCAGCACATTTTCCATGCTGTCTCAGGCCTAGAAAACAAATGGAGTGTAACCAATAAATTATAATGCTGTACAAGTGTGTAAACAAAGCAGACATTCACCTGTTTGAATCTTTATCACAGTCAGAAGAAAAGAATAAAGGGGATGTAATTTCTTAACATAGGATAACCCAATACATGTGTTACCTCCCCTGTTTAATAGCTGCATAACACATTAATTTAATTTCTTTGTTACATAATAGTTAAACATGAAAGTACTTTTCCTGTTTTTAGGGATCAGTAAAGAAAATTAATTTTAGTTGTTTAATCATTGGCAAGTTCTTTACTAGCATGTAATAATTAATTATCTAATCAAGTTCTACATATTGAACTTGGTTTTTTAACTAATAAAATGGCAACATTTTAAGCATGTTAGAGACAGATGGCGTAGACACAAGTGGGCTAACTTTATAAATGGCTGTAAGCTGTCCGGATCAAAATGAAAAAACAGTTCTTGAGCCGGTGATCAACAAATAGACAAAAATAAAATGCATGAAAATGCCAGCATATAATTTACAGCAGCTCAGCTAGATTCAAATCAGCAGCCACATGTACGCTGCTTGCTCTTGGAAACGTGTTCAATGACCACAAAACTGCTGGGTTGGTTATCACTGGGAAGCTAAAGTCAAACCAACAACCATGTTGATATATTGCACTATCATGAACTAACACCACAGCAGAATTATAAATGGTAAACTCAAATCAACAACCATCTTGATATTGCGTTGTGATATTGAAAATCAACTCAACAGCACAGTCAGAGCAGAAGTGAATGGCAAACTCAAACCAGCAGCCTTGTTGGCACTGCACTGTGATACAATCATCCAACAACAGACTTTGTAAACTCAAATCAACAACCTTATTCCCTCAGCCCCTGTAAATATTAACCTACAGCCACAACCAGTTCTTCATTTCTAATAAGAAATACATCACAAGATCAGATCTGAACAGATGATTTGCAGAATACATGTTGCCCAAGCAAGGCGGCTGAATTGATCTTAAAAAAAGTTTTCCTCTAAAGCAAGTGCATGATGTGAGTGGTAGTTCAGACCAGTCCAAAACCTTGGTTTCCCTCATTGATGGCTATGAGCAGCATGTGGTGGAAGGTCTCCATGTTGTCATAGTCAGGGAGACACAGTTGATTAAAGCTGGAAGAATTTTAAAAATTTAGTTGTTGAAATCAGTTTCCTTATTTTTAAAACTTGTTTGTGTGATGTATTCAAGATCTGTCTTTTGTGTTGTACAGAACTTTGTGTGAGTGTTTTACTGTTTTTAAACATTTTTATTTAACTTTTTTTTACAGACTAAAAACATATTTCTAGAAGAATATTTAAGGTTTTTGTTTTCATATACTTTGACAGTTCAAAACTACAGACTTTGAGCAGTCAGCATGGTTATGGGGGAGGTAGTTATATGTAAGTCTATAGAAACATATTCATATATGGAGGGGTAAATGGGTTACTCTTTAACGCATAGGTGTCTAGCTTTGAGATAGTATGGTCTGCCAGGATAAAACATTACACTTTACACATCATGACAAAAACATAATACTTAATCGAATAGCATCACAGATTACTAAAAACTGATACTATCTGCAAAGCTTTTTTGTACATCTTTGTTTACTTCAAAATATTTAAAAAAAAACTAAGTTGGTGTGGATGAAAGTTGTATACAACAAACAACTACCCTCCCATGTGTGTGTAAGTTGGTGTGGATGAAAGTTGTATCCAACAAACAAGTACCCTACCATGTGTGTGAAGAAGGCAAGCTGTTGTAAGTTGGTGCGGATGAAAGTTGTATACACCAAACAACAACCCTACCATGTGTGTGATAAGTTGGTGCGGATGAAAGTTGTATACAATAAACAACTACCCTACCATGTGTGTGAAGAAGGCAAGCTGTTGTAAGTTGGTGTGGATGAAAGTTGTATACACCAAACAACAACCCTACCATGTGTGTGATAAGTTGGTGCGGATGAAAGTTGTATACAATAAACAACTACCCTACCATGTGTGTGAAGAAGGCAAGCTGTTGTAAGTTGGTGCGGATGAAAGTTGTATACTACAAAGTACCCTACCATGTGTGTGAAGAAGGCAAGCTGTTGTAAGTTGGTGCGGATGAAAGTTGTATCTTCGGGACCAGCTCCGAGAAACCCCCAGGTGGGAGCTGCGATGACCCGGTTATAAACTGTAACAATCTGGCCATTTGCTCCTCTGTGAAACTTGCGATGATGGTCCAGAACCAGTCCAGTACCTGAAATAGTGGTGACATCATCATAAAAAATTTATATTGACGAGGTAACAAATAGTTTATATTGGTGAGATCACAAATAGTATATATTAGTGATATAACAAATAGCTAATGTTGGTGACATCATTACAAGTAGTTTATATTGGTGACATCATCACATATAATTTACAACATTTCAGACATGAATACATATATTTCAAAACAATTAATGACAAATATTTCAATTATTCTGACAACTACTTCATTGCTATGTTATTCTTGGATGGTCTTTGAACATTACTAAATAATGTATGTACACCCAGTGTAGCCAAATTGTCTGAAACTGAAGACATCACTGAGTCCATCCAGCTCTAATTTGTAACTGGCACAAGCCATGGGACAGGACCTTCCTTTATCTACCCTACCGACTATCAGGTTTTGCATGGCAAATTAAATAATAAAAATTATATTTTTAAAACAAAACATTTTTCCAAAGTATTGAGCTGTAAAATTGTTCTGAAACAGTGAATAGTTAAAAAAGTAACGTTCCTAATCCGAGCGTGATGGTCCATAAGACAAGTGAAGTAATACAAAACAACATCAGATCTGAACAAAAGAGTTCAACTGTTTCTGTGACCTCGGATAGTGTGGTCTGCAATATGCTGAGCCACCTTTACTTACTTAACGCATGTTAGGCACCCATCAGAGCTAGGTGGAATCAGGGATGTTCTAGTGATTTCAACCAGGATTCGAAATCAAGATTTAGGGTTAGCAGTCTAGCCCTCTACTGGTAGGCCATGCCATCCCACAATAATTAATATGTTGAGAGTTAAACTATTTAACAAATGTAAATGATGATAAATAAAATAAATTTATATGCTTATTAAAACAAATGTGTTGTGATGTTGAGAATTAAGATTTATTTTTCCTACACTTAAATCCTTGTACTCACCCTGTTAAAAGATGCTGTAGCCCCCACTACATTGTGATAGAGTTTGAAATCCGCAATGCTGTAAGTTCCAGTGCCACACATTAAGAGCTGCGTACAATTTAATAATTAATTGATAAACTACTGATTAAATATCAAAATAAACAAATTCTTTTTTTTTTGTCATGACTGGATCCTATTTTTTTTTTTAAAATACACAAAATCAAAGTCAAATAAAACTATTTTTTTTTTATCCTGACTAGATCATAATTTTTTAAAACTCAGAATAAAATAAAAATATATAGCTGCATTTAAAAAAAAAATGTGCTTGGTTTAGGTAAAAATAAAATTCAGTTGTCAAGCTGGTTTAAATAAAAATCATTGTTAATGAGAAACTTTTGTTTAAATAAAATCATCGTTAATGAGTAAGATTAGTTTAAATAATATCATTGTTAATGAGAAACATCAATTAAAATGAAATCATTGTTAATGAGAAACATTGGTTTAAATAAAATCATTATAAATCAGAATCATTAGTTTAAATGTAATCTTAGTAAATGAAGAATATCTGTTTTAGGAAGACCATCAATTACAAAACCAACATCAACACATCAAACAGTTACCTCCAACTCATTCTCATCAAATATACTGAGCAAATTTTCAGGGATTAGCTCCGAGCTTAGACCCTTCATAAAACTCTCCACCTCGTCTTTTACAGGGGTGACTAGCCTGTGCTGGGCCAGAGCATCCAGGTAGCGAAGTTTGTTGCTGTTGGTCACCGCAATTTTAGAACCATTGGGTATCAGGTCAACAACCTGTGAAAAAAACAAAACATTGGGTTACAAGAGTTAAACAATTTGTGTCATTAAACAACATGAATCAAAAACAAAACAAAACATTGGGTTACAAGAGTTAAACAATTTGTGTCATTAAACAACATGAATCAAAAACAAAACAAAACATTCAGTTAAGAGAGTTCCCAAGTTTGGCATCAAACAACATGAATTGCATACTAAATAAAATGTGCAGCTAATTCTCATTTTTTTGTAAGTTGTGACAAATCCACATATTATCTTCTGTAGGCACACATTAATAATGTGTTGTGTTTAATCCTTTTTTTATTTTGTTATAAGTAGTCGGCAAAGGACATCATGCAACGTAAGACACCAATTCTTTTTATTTTCTCAGTTTGTGGCAGCTAAACCAGAAGATTTCATCTTATCCCATACACTGGCATCTTGTCCCACAAAATTTCATCCAAAATTATATCTTATTCCAGAAAATTTCATCTATCAGAAAATTTCATCTATCTGAAAATTTCATCTATTAGAAAATTTCATCTATTAGAAAATTTCATCTACCAGAAAATTTCATCATATCCTAGAAGATTCAGGTTTATCCCAGGAAACTAAAATTTTCTTGATTAACCTTTGCCCTCTAGCTACCTAACGTACGGTGACCTCTCCAACTAGCTCTAGCCTAAAACAAAAACACTGTGCAGCTAAAAATAACCTCAGTCTCACCTTGACCAACTGACCCTGCGTATCATAAACCTCCTCAGCAAATGTCAGCTCCATGTCATCCACGTCATTGTTCTCAATGTAAGAAATTTTGGTGGTGAAAAATTCAGGGTCGTCTGTTTCAAAATGCTGAAAGGTTAAGAGTTAATGAATGCAAGTAGGTCAGCAGAATTGTTAGTGGGAGAGAATCTAAAGAAACTCATCTCATTGCAAATATTGATAACACAACACCCAATGAAAGTTTCATATAATTTTGACTCTTTTTTTATGACGAAAATGGGATGGCACTTATTGCATAAAACAACACAAATAGTAAAAAGTAAAGTAAATACAGTTCCCTTTCGAACCCCTGACATTCCACGGAGCAGGTGAAGTAGAGTCCACCCATTTCAGTGACGCGATAGTGTATTCAACACTATGTCCAGCCGCCTTTACTTTCCCTCGTACATGACAAATGCTTATGTTTAGGTTGGCTACTAACCTTATACGTGACATTTTATTTAGGTTGGCCACTAACCTTATATGTGACAAATGTTTATGTTTAGGTTGGCCACTAACCCTATACGTGACCAAAGTTGATGTTTAGGTTGGCCACTAACCTTATATGTGACAAATGTTTATGTTTAGGTTGGCCACTAACCTTGTATGTGACAAACGTTTATGTTTAGGTAGGCCACTAACCTTATACATGACAAATGTTTATGTTTAGGTTGGCCACTAACCTTGTATGTGACAAAGTTTATGTTTAGGTTGGCCACTAACCTTATAGGTGACAAAAGTTTATGTTTATGTTGGCCACTAACCTTATACGTGACAAAAGTTTATGTTTAGGTTGGCCACTAACCTTATACGTGACAAAAGTTTATGTTTAGGTTAGCCACTAACCTTATACATGACAAATGTTTATGTTTAGGTTGGCCACTAACCTTATACGTGACAAACGTTTATGTTTAAGTTAGCCACTAACCTTGTATGTGACAAAGTTTATGTTTAGGTAGGCCACTAGCCTTATACATGACAAATGTTTATGTTTAGGTTGGCCACTAACCCTATACGTGATAAAAGTTTATGTTTATGTTGGCCACTAACCTTATATGTGACAAAAGTTTATGTTTAGGTTGGCCACTAACCTTATACGTGACAAAAGTTTATGTTTACGTTGGCCACTAACCTTATATGAGACAAAAGTTTATGTTTAGGTTGGCCACTAACCCTATACGTGACAAAAGTTTATGTTTAGGTTGGCCACTAACCTTATACGTGACAAAAGTTTATGTTTATGTAGCCAACTAACCTTATACGTGACCCGTAGCCCAATCAGCTGGGCCAGGAAGGAGCGGGTAAACTTGGCCTTGACCAGCTGTGTCCGCTTGGCTGCGGACTCAATCAGACACTTGCCCACAATCTTGCCAGCAAACTCGTACAGCTTCACTTTCTTGTCTGGCGGCCTTTTAGGGTTGGGGTGGACCTACAGGGCGGGAGGAGGAGAGAGGGAGGTAAGAGTTAACCCAGTGACAAACAATAGACTGTTTCATAACAAACAGAAGCTTAACATTTAAAAGCTGAAATATTCTATAGTGTGTGATGACCTTACCAGTCCCTGTGGGTTGTCTGTGTGTGCCTGTCTGTGTGAGTGTGTCTGCCTTTGTGTGTCTGAGTGTCTGTGTGTGTCTGTGTGAGTGTGTCTGATGATCTACCAGTCCCTGTGGGTTGTCTGTGTGTGTCTGTCTGTGTGAGTGTCTGTGAATCTGTGTGTGTGTATGATGACCTACCAGCCCCTGTGGGTTGTCTGTGTGAGTGTCTGTGATGACCTACCAGCCCCAGTGGGTTGTCTGTGTGTGTCTGTGTGTGTGTGTGATGACCTACCAGCCCCTGTGGGTTGTCTGTGTGTGTGTGTGTGTGATGACCTACCAGCCCCTGTGAGTTGTCTGTGTGAGTGTGTCTGTGTGTGATGACCTACCAGCCCCTGTGGGTTGTCTGTGTGTGTGTGTGTATGAGTGTGTGTGTGTGTGTGATGACCTACCAGCCCCTGTGGGTTGTCTGTGTGTGTGTGATGACCTACCAGCCCCTGTGGGTTGTCTGTGTGTGTATGAGTGTGTGTGTGTGTGATGACCTACCAGCCCCTGTGGGTTGTCTGTGTGTGTGTGTGTATGAGTGTGTGTGTGTGTGTGATGACCTACCAGCCCCTGTGGGTTGTCTGTGTGTGTGTGATGACCTACCAGCCCCTGTGGGTTGTCTGTGTGTGTATGAGTGTGTGTGTGTGTGATGACCTACCAGCCCCTGTGGTTTGTCTGTGTGTGTGTGTGTATGAGTGTGTGTGTGTGTGTGATGACCTACCAGCCCCTGTGGGTTGTCTGTGTGTGTGTGTGATGACCTACCAGCCCCTGTGGGTTGTCTGTGTGTGTATGTGTGTGTGTGTGTGTGATGACCTACCAGCCCCTGTGGGTTGTCTGTGTGTGTGTGTGTATGAGTGTGTGTGTGTGTGTGTGATGACCTACCAGCCCCTGTGTGTGTGATGACCTACCAGCCCCTGTGGGTTGTCTGTGTGTGTATGTGTGTGTGTGTGTGTGATGACCTACCAGCCCCTGTGGGTTGTCTGTGTGTGTGTGTGTATGAGTGTGTGTGTGTGTGTGTGATGACCTACCAGCCCCTGTGTGTGTGTGTGATGACCTACCAGCCCCTGTGTGTGTGTGTGATGACCTACCAGCCCCTGTGGGTTGTCTGTGAACCTGGTAAACAGCTGGGAACAGTTGGGGTCAAACAGTTCCTTCCCCAGCAGCTCAAACCACTCCCTGCTCAGCCCTCCCCAGTCCAGACCCTGCTCCCCTATGAAGGAGATCTCAAACCTCCGGCACCAGTCGTTGACACTCAGGGGCTTCGTTACTTTATATGACTAAAATATTAAGAAATATGAAGATTAAAAACTAATAATAAACATTAAGAAATATGAAGATTAAAAACTAATAATAGTAATAACTCTTGTTTTAGTAAGTTACTTCCCTTGAATATTTTTTTAAACAAGTACTAAAGAAAAAATTCTATGAAATTAAACCAGGCTATGGTTGTTACTCCTCTAGTCTGACTTTCTTTGATGTACTAATATTAATGCTGAAGTATTTATTAAAGTACCTCAATAAAACAATCATTTAAAAAAAACCATCTTTTATTTTGAATGTGTAAACACAAAATTTTATTTTATGAATTTACTTTTAGAGCAAAGATCTTCAAATATACTCTCCATTTCTTTATTTAAATATGCTGGTTATTAAAATTATATTAAATAAATACAGAACAAATTTTATCACTATTAGAAGGATGTGTTAGTAGTTAATTTTACTAACAATTTTACAAAGATTTGTGTATATCCATTACGGCCTACTAACTTAATATTTGAATAGCAAACTGATTCAAGAATTTAAAAATAGCAATACTGACTTCAGATTCTAATTGCAAAATTGATTCAAGAGATTTAAAATAACCACTCACACTAGACAGCAGACTTGACCTCTCTATTTTGAGCAGCAGTGTATTATGGGATCGCCTGTCGTGAAAGCTTTGAATCTCCCGGTTGAAAAAATCTCGTTTATCGTTGAAAGTTTCAGATCCACCTTATTGGAATTAAAAAAAAAAACATTTTCTAAAAGGAATCTCTAGAAGATACAGATTTTTAAAAACTTGGCATAGGGCATCAAAGTATGGAACTCAGTAGGGAGAGGTCAATGGGTGGGGTCAAGTGGGGAGGGGGTCAAGATGAGGAGGCGGGCCAAAGCGGGAAAGGGTGAAACAAATTTTTTGTTACATGACTCTCTGAAAGATACTGGATTTTGTGAACTTCTCATACATTACCAAAATGAAGGGGTCAAACTGGGAGGAATTAAAGTAGGAGGGGGGGGGGGGGGTCATAGTGGTAGGGGTCATTGTGGGAGGGGTCAAAATAAACTATATAAAAAGTCTCACCAATGCTTTTTAAAAGAAAACTGGAAAAAGTGGCCGCAATAATATTTCTATCCTGGGCTGCCAGTTCAACAGACTGCTGGCTCCCGTCTTCAATAACAAACGTTGGAGCATCAAACTGGTTGCTCACTCCGTTAAAGATAAACTGAAAATTTAAAATATTTTGATTTGGTAAAAAAAATGACGTTTTAACAAAAACTGGATCATTATTTAGTAAACGAAGTGCTGAAACCATTTAGTGTTAAAACAAAAGTAACTTTCGGATGTTTATGACTAGTCACAATTTTTAACAAATAAAATTGTTTTTTTTGTCAATTTTGATGGCGTCTGTAGTTTTATTGGGCGCAATTTGTAACAAATAAAAATTTTTTCGAACAACTTTGATAACCTCTGTAAATTTTTAGTTAAATAAGTTTAATACGTTTTTAAGTGTTTGTAGTTTTTGTAACTAGAAAAATATAAAAAACATACTTTTGTCCAGGGGCAGACACGAAATGTACACAACTTCCTCCTGTAGATCTTGAAACAAAATTCTTTGATCGTCATTTGCTGAGGAAGTGGGAATATAAAAATTTAAACATCAAAGTTTTTTTAATTTAAACAAAATTCATATTAGTTGTAAAGAAAACTATTAGCATTAAGTAATTAAAAAGTTTACAGATTCTAAACTAATTTGGATTCAAATATGGCCCCAAATGTAGTAACTTAAAATCACTTTAAGAAGCTCATCTCTACAAAAAAAAAATGTTTTATGGTAACGTAAAAGTAAATTACACTATTACAAAACTAGTTTCCGAGTAAAAAGCAGAGAGTTACTAATTAAATCTTTGTCTCTTTAATTAACTGACCCGCGACCACCAAAAGTTCAGACAAACAAAAACTGGAACAAGCCAGATTGGGTCAACTTTACCTTAGGTGAAATATAAACAAAAACTTTTTTTGGCTTCTCCAGTTTTTCCCCATTGAGTGACAAAAGCCTGGCCATGTGCCACACACTGCTCTTCTGTTTGTAAACGTTCTTGATCACCTTGTTGTACTCCCCAGCTGAGGAGAAGATTGTGTCATAGAGGTATTTATGATCCCATTTTAAAACTTTTTTCCTGAAAAAGTACTTTTCATTGGTTTTTAAAAGATAAAAATAGTTTTCAGTTTACTTTTACAAAATTTCTTTATTGTAATTTTTTTTTTTAAAAACAGTTTTCAAACCAATTATTTTTAAAAGAAAAATACTTCTTCTGGAATAAAGACAAATAAAGTGGAAAGAAATAAAAGATTTATAAAAAAAGATGTGTATATGGCTAGTATTAATTATTTTTATTCAGAAATGATTCCAGACCATGTTTTCAAGATGTAAATGAGGCCATGTGACCATGTTTACACACCCAGAGTCAGAAGACAAGCAGGAAGTGGTTGTATGTGAAACAACAACAGTCAGATGTTGAATGTGTCAACAAACTTTTAACACACACGTGCTGTTGACAGTGTCAGCTGACAGTGTGTTTGACATTGCTAGAACACAGACACATTTGACACTGGCAGTGTTATGTGGCATTCACAATTTAAATTAGCAGTGATAATAATAATATGATAGTATTAACACCAGACATGTAGAATTTTTTTTTTACCAGAGTTCTGTCCCCTAACTAATCTAGTGCCTAGATTGTTACAAATAAAAATTTTAGTTCTAAAATAAGCAATGATCACATCCATTAAAAAACTGAAATATTCAATCCCTAAATTTTACTCAAACTGTCTAAACCAGGAGTTAAAGCTTTATTTGAAAAATAAATACAAATTATTTATTTTAAAACAATTGTTAAGCCATACCAAATTTTTAGTTTTAATCCCAATTCAGTCAGTTATAGAAATAACATTAAAACTCATGTTGTACCTATATTTTATCCATATTTTCAAAATAAGACGTTCTACTAACAAAAAGAGACAGCGCAGCAGAACATACTTTCAAGGACGAGGATGTCAAACTCCCCATTCTTGAGCTTGACGTCACCGTAAGACACCACGGCCTGGTAGCAGCCTTTCTGGTCTATCTTGATGTACATGACCAGCTTCTTGTCCTGGGTGTTGTAGATGATCTGGGTGGTGGGGTTGTAGCGCTCTTTGGTGCCAGCCTGGGTTAATTATAGGTGATTAGATGGGTGTGTGTAGTGGGGTTGTAGCGCTCCTTAGTGCCAGCCTGGGGTAGGTTAATTACAGGTAATTAGCTGGGTGTGTGGGTTAATTACAGGTAATTAGCTGGGTGTGTGGGTTAATTACAGGTAATTAGCAGTGAGTGTGGGAGGTGGGGTTGTAGCGCTCTTTGGTGCCAGCCTGGGTAATTACAGGTTATTAATTGGTGCAGGTCTGGGTTAATTACAGGTAATTAGCTAGGTGTGTGGGTTAATTACAGGTAATTAGCTGGGTGTGTGGGTTAATTACAGGTAATTAGCTAGGTGTGTGTGTGGTGGGGTTGTAGCGCTCCTTGGTGCCAGCCTGGAGTAGGTTCTTCTTCTTCTTCTTTGTTCTTAATTATTAGTGTTAATAGGTTAATTACAGGTAATTAATTGGACTGGGTGTTTGGGGGGGGGAGGGGGTTGTACTGCTCATTGGTGCCAGGTAATTAACTTGGTGGGTGAGGGGGGGGGGATCTTAACTCTTTTAGCTGTGAGGCCTGGGTTAACTTAATTATAGGTAAATAACTGATGGCTTGGGGCCACATGTAGTGCATTCAACTTCAGTTCTCAATTTTGGATTTCAGTGAGGACACGAGGCAGTAGGAACTCCTGAGTCCACCCAGCTCTGATGAATACCTGACTCATGTTAGGGAACGTAAAGGTGGCATATGAAGGAATAGTGTGGTCTGCACTATGGCTAGCCACCTTTTCTTTCCCCAACGTAATTCAGGAACCCATCAGAGCTGGATGGACTCAGGGATGCCTTATAGTCACAAGCCCGAACCGTGATCTGAACTTGACACCTGTCTAGAAGCCAAACACTCTACCATTGGACCACACCATCCCACAAAGGTTGGGGCAAACAAATTACCGCAGTGACTTTGATCTTGAAAAATGCCTTGTGGTCCGCCCTGTACGGCGCCAGGTTGCCGAAGGAGTCCCTGGTCTCTATGACCAGGGGGTGCTTGCTGCCTGAAGGGAAGACGACTGTGGAGGTGTAGTGCATGAATCCAGTCTTGGAGGGGTCGATTGGTCCTGGGGAGAGACAGATTCCTGATATCAAGATACGTTTTAAAATAGGCTTGTCGGCAGCACATGTCATGATTCCTTATATTCAGATACATTTTAAAATAGGCTTGTATGCAGCACATGTTATGGTTCCTGATATTGAAATACATTTTAAAATAGGCTAGTGGGCAGCATATGTCATGATTCCTGATATTGAAATACATTTTAAAATAGGCTAGTGGGCAGCATATGTCATGATTCCTGATATTGAAATACATTTTAAAATAGGCTAGTGGGCAGCATATGTCATGATTCCTGATATTGAAATATATTTAAAAATAGGCTAGTGGGCAGCATATGTCATGATTCCTGATATTGAAATATATTTAAAAATAGGCTAGTGGGCAGCATATGTCATGATTCCTGATATTGAAATATATTTAAAAATAGGCTAGTGGGCAGCATATGTCATGATTCCTGATATTGAAATATATTTAAAAATAGGCTAGTGGGCAGCATATGTCATGATTCCTGATATTGAAATATATTTAAAAATACGCTTGTGGGCAGCCAACATGTCAGAACAAAATTAGAAAAGGCAAAACATGTTTGTTAAAAGAAGAGCATAATTCCTTCTCATAGTATACTTACACATCAAAACTTGCAAATGATTGGTTTTTTCTGTATAAATCAATACTTTGAACAAATAAAATGTATAACAAATAGGTCTCTTATTCAACTCTAATTTTAAATTTATAAAATAAGACTAAAGTGTATCAATTAGTCTTGAAGAGTTATTTAATAATTTTATCTGAATAACAGAAATTTGGTAAAAATATTTTTTAATTAAAAAACAGGACAGAGCAGGAGACAGACAGACAGTAGTTGAGAGTGACAGACAGACAGACAGACAGACAGACAGACAGTAGTTGAGAGTGACAGACAGACAGACAGACAGACAGTAGTTGAGAGTGACAGACAGACAGACAGACAGACAGTAGTTGAGAGTGACAGACAGACAGTAGTTGAGAGTGACAGACAGACAGTAGTTGAGAGTGACAGACAGACAGACAGACAGACGGTAGGGAGCAGCAGAATTAGGGGAGGTAACGCAGACACGCAACACACTGACCTGGATCAAAAGATTTGATGAAGGGACTGTCGCGGATGTGCCGGCCGCCCACCATGATTGAAATCTTGTAGGTGCCAGACTTGTGGACGGTGAACGAACAGCGCACCAGGTTCACGTCTGTCGGGCTGTTCCCTGAGAATTCCAACGTGCGTGCGACCTTGACACCCTCGTGGAGTATCTCTATCAGGATTCCGTCCCCGTCGGACACTGGGTAAGGGGCACCACTTTTCTGAAAGAACTGACCAAACAATAGCAATGAACATTGGTGTGGAAACATTTAGCTTGAGGAGATAACTTATGTCAGATAATGAGACATGGGAACACTGGGTTAAAGACCAAAGAGCTGTACATAGGGAAAAAGAAAAGTAAAATATACTTTCAAATCAGATGGTCCATGGGGCAGGTGAAGTAGAGGTTCACCTGTTGCAGTGACCTCGGTATACAAAGGGATAGTATGGTCAGCATTATGCCAAGCAGCCTTTATTTTCCCTTATGTGAATTAGGTACCCATCTGAGCTTGGTGGACTCAGGGATATCATGTAGACAAGGCCTTGATTCTGAACTCATGACTTTCAGGTTAGTAGTCATATACTCTACCATCCAACCATACACGTGAACAATTTAAATAATCTGTTTGCCTGTCACAAAAGCTCTTTCACAAGAGAAGTTAGCATACAGACCAGATAGTGGAGATGAAAGAAATTTGCTGTATGGCGGTGTGGATAAGTTTGATGTGTGGAATGTGAGGGAGGTGGGAGATTCAATGTGTAGGAATGTGGGAAGTTCAATGTGAGGGAGTGTGGGAGGTTCAATGTGAGGGAGTGTAGGAGGTTCAATGTGAGGGTGTGTGTTTGACATGTTACATCAGTAAGTTAAATATGGATGTTGATGAGGGGATAATGAAGAGGACAGGAGGGCAGAGGGAGATAGGAAATTGTATTGTTGGATGCATTGAAGTGTATTGTTAAGATAAGTTAGGTCGAAGGCAGAGAGGTACTGGCACTATATAAATAAGTCTGTTAGTTGGGGAAAGGGGGGGGGGGGTGAAGTAGATTTGTAACAAAATACTTAGGTCGATAGCTTGAGAAATTTTTAGGAATAAGGATGGAAGGGGGGGGGGGTATGAATGATGGGGACGATGGCATTGTGAGGTAAGTTTATGGTGATGGAGGGAAGGAATGGGACAAGTCAGATGTGAGTGAAATGGTGGTGGTGGTGTGTTGACTATGTCTGGGGAGGGGGGATGGGATGGGAGGCATGTGCGGGAAGGAAACAAACAATGGCGCAAACCACACACGGCGACCAGAATCAATATCTAACGCGCCCGTAATTGAAAGGTCATCCGTCTTATCTGTTGCTTCCGGTTAGTCGCGGTCGTCTGATAAAAACATGACAACAACGGGGCAGCCAATTATCTGCTGACGTGTCATTACATCATCACGCGCTGTGACGTCACGCGTCGGTAAACAAGACCTTTCGGAGAATTTTTTTCTCCTCTCTGTTTTTTACCGCAGTCTGACAATGGATTCGTCCAATTATGGAGGGGAGGGGGGGATGGGTAGATATTCTATTTAGTATGAGGTCAGGACAAAATCTAGTGTAAATATTTGTTTTAATATTCGTTGGGTCTTATCCAGATAAGCCCCGCCACTAATGTCAGCTTCAATTTATTGCACGCACGCAATCTTGTGGGTTAGCTGAAGACGAAATCCTCCAGAGAAAATGGAAATGGATTGGCCACACACTCAGGAAGCCTGTATCCAGCATAACAAGACAGGCCCTCACCTGGAATCCACAGGGCAGGAGGAGGAGAGGCAGACCAAGAAAGACCTGGAGACGTGACCTGGAAGAAGACACCAAGAAGATTGGATACACCTGGGGACAGTTGGAGAGACTAGCACAGGACAGAGCCGCCTGGAAAGCTCTTGTCAGCGGCCTATGTCCCAGGAGGGGCGACAGGCAAACCTAACAGAACCTAGTCTATTTATGTAACGACTTAATTTTAAAAAAAAATATTTGGCAAAGTTTTTACTCTTTCGTATACGTCAGCAAAAGAACGCGAAGAAAATATTAAATACACGCACATTGCTAAAGCATATTAAACGGATCAATGTCAAATAACATTTTCGCTTAGATTCCAAGAAAAAATTGATACATTTTAATAACAGCAGTCTGATAAAACTAATAGAGCATTTTTGTTGGAATACACGGCCGTTTGTTTGATAAAGCCATATGATAACATTACAGGCCTTTTCGTACAAATAATTAATGATATGTCAATAAAATATAAAAGTTCAAGTGTCATATCCTCGTTTTTACAATCTTTTATTGTTATTGTTGGAGGCTTATCTGGACAAGATCCTATTGAATGTAGTTATGGTGCAAAAATGTAGCTATTTGCAAAAGCAGTGATATACAGAAAGGAGAAAAAAATATGAAAGTAAGAAAATACATATCCTCGTTTTTACAATCTTTTATTGTTGGGGGCTTATCTGGACAAGATACTATTCGTTTACAACGTTTTTTAATTTTTTGAAATAGAAACAGCAAAATTTTAAAAAGAAGTGAGATACATAAAGGAGACAAAAAAAAAAAGGAAAGCATGAAAATATAGCAAAAGAAAGAATTAGACCTTAAGAACAACAGTGTGTTCGTATGAGAGAATGATGTGTGTTATCAAAAGGTCCTTCACTGCTCAACTTGTGAGGTGGACAAGAGAGGTAGAAGGTGAGTGTAAATCTCACGTGCACTCACAGGAGACTTTGTCTACTCAAAGCGGATTATAAACTGAGTAGCTAGGTCAGGCAAGTACTCATCCTACACACAACTACTCACGCAATCAGCCCCCCCCACCTCACACTAACGTTCCATTCTAAGGAGAAAAAGCTAGTGCGCAACGTGTATTATCAGTGCGCGGTGTTGTAAACGCTTAATACAAAAATATATGTAGTTTACAAAACGACGGAGCGGCAGGGTCAAAGCTAATGCGCGGCCGCGCAACGGCGCAGCTTAGAAGGAACATTGCCCTCCATATATTATATATATATATATATATATATATATATATATATATATATATATATATATATATATATATATATATATATATATATAACTTCTTCCATTCACAACTACTATCAATATTTAACACGCCTAAGCAATTCCCCACCCATCCTCACCCCACTTCCGCACGTAAAAATAAAACTTCCTCCAATCACAAATACTTTCTATATCCAACACACACAATCATCAACCCCATTCATATCTAACTTCCTCCAGTCACAACCACATTCTATATTTAACACACGCACCCCCCCCCCAATATAACGTCTTCCAATCACAACTACCTTCACTCCCTGACACACGAAATCACCCCCCCCCCCCGACTACCGCCACCATAACTACATTCAATCTCCTTGACACAGCCCGACCAATCTGGCAGTTTTCAGGCCAACTAGGCAAATCGAGAAAAAAAAATCGATCGAGATTAAATTATGGCCAGCTGGTCGGCCGCAAGCTCAAGCCAAAATACATGTTACACTGGTCGGAGGTTCGGGGGGGGGGGGGGGGGGAATAGTTGGTTTGTGTGCATGCATAGATGGGATAGGGGGAGGGATGGAGGGGGGGGAGAGATAGGGGAGGGATGGGAAGAAACATGGAGGTGGAGGATGAATCGAGGGGTGTAGTGAAATAAAAACAAAGGGTGAATGGGCAATTATTTTGTGGTGCAGTTTTTTTGGACTTCTTGTTCTTCTTCGTTCTTAAATGTAATACTAGACTGTACTCCCTTCAACACTATTTCTTCTTCGTTCTGAAATGTAACGCTGGATTGTATTTCCTCCAACACAATTAAGTATTACGTGTCAACGTGCTATGCGCCATATCGGTAGTTGATCCCGAGTTCAGCCTGCTTTTCTTTTTGAATTTGCTTCCATAGCTTTTGTCCAACCAAGAACAAACTACAAGGCAGCAGTTGTTTGATTTTGAAGCTGTCTTTCCTAGAACAGTGGCTGTCCCCAGCTATCATCTGCCCGGGGGTTTCGAACTCGGGACTTTTCGGTTTAGCCATGAGCTTTGACGACCCGAAAACAATGACCATAGTTGTTTTTTTTTTACGAATGACACACAAAAAAATAATTACCGCCAAATCTAATCTAGTTCTCTTAAGGGTCAGTCGCATCCTTACACCACCCCACCCCCCCACACAAACACACTAAATAAAGTTTGTGTAGCAGAACATGCGTTTTTCTTTCCGCGACTTTTTATTATTTTTCTTCAACTATTTATTTTTCTCACGTTTTTGATTTAGGTCACACAAATTGGAGCAACGATTCTACACGCAACACCAGTTATCTGATTATTTGCAAGACGATTTTGGCGAAACCAAAAAAAAGTGTGTATTTAATCTTCATTCATCAAAACATGTCGCTTCACCCCCCCCCCCCCCCACCCACCCCGACACACACCCAATCTAAAATGACCTTCTCTCCTCTCCACTGCCCCCAAACGCATTAAGTAAGAATCAATCCTAACAAACGTCAATCTTAAGATTAAGTCGTCCCCCCCCCCCCACGTACCTATCAATTAAAAATCAGTCTTCACACATTCTCCTTACCCACAGACACCCCCTCTACAATTACACACCTCCAATCCACAAGTACACACACACCTCCCCTCTCCCGTAACACAGACACCCGCTCTCTACACACAGATACTTCTCCACACTCCACACAAAGACACCTCCCACCACGCACAAAGACACCACCCACCACACACAAACACCTCCCACCACGCACACAGACACCTCCCAGCACACACACAGACACCTCCCACCACGCACACAGACACCTTCCACCACGCACAAAGACACCTCCCACCACGCACAAAGACACCTCCCACCACGCACAAAGACACCACCCACCGCACAAAGACACCACCCACCACACACAAACACCTCCCACCACGCACACAGACACCTCCCAGCACACACACAGACACCTCCCACCACGCACACAGACACCTCCCACCACGCACAAAGACACCTCCCACCACACAAAGACACCTCCCACCATGCACAAAGACACCTCCCACCACGCACACAGACACCTCCCACCACGCACAAAAACACCTCTCACCACGCACAAAGACACCTTCCACCACGCACACAGACACCTCCCACCACGCACAAAGACACCTCCC